TAATAACGGACGATGCGCGGCCGCGAGTTCAGCGCGCAGCCGGGAGTCGGTGCGCAGTCGTGCCGTTACACGACGGGTCTCAACCGTTGGATCTGAGAGGAACGGTAGACAGTCGGCTATGCGGTCCCAGATGCACGCCACGCGCCGGGATCGGTCGGGATGAACCGCTTGCATGCTGCGAGGAGGACGTCCAGAAGCGGCCAGCGCGCCGCCCACCGTTCGTCCGGATTCAATCTGAGCACTGTGAAGAGCGCCTCCAAAAGCAAGCGCAGCTCGAACGACCCGAGTGCGCCGACCGCCCCGCCTCCCGCAAAGCGCGACAGCCGCGGCACGGCTTCCGCAAGCTCCCGGCAGAAGGCCTCATTCCCGCCGGGGTTCGCAGGGTCAAAGGGCTCCGCAAGAGCCACGAGCATTTCGAGGGCCGGCCAGACAGGGCCCTCGGTCGTGCCAGAGACGAGCCCTGGTTTTCGTTCCTTTGACATATCCTCTCCCTCGAGAATGTCAACGAGCAGCGAGACGAGTCCCCGCGCGGCTAGCCTCTGCGCGTCTTGCACGTGCAACCCGCCTTTCTGCATCTCCTCGTGCAGATCTCGAAGCTGGAAGCCCCACGTATCCCCATCCTCCTTGGCCGTCCGCAACTTGTCAAAAAGCGCCTCTGCTCTAGTTACTGAAGTGCGAGCCCTTTCGTCCCGTTCCCAGCTATCCTTTCCGGCGGCGACTCGTGCCATCTCCACCCACGCTCGGTCCACGGTCTGCACGACCTGCCGCCCGAACGCCTCATAGCTTTTCCCCAGTGCGCACACCCTTTCCGCCGTCAGTAGCATTGCCGCCCGCCGTGCCGACGTAAAGAGCGCCCGGTTTACTTCCTTTGTGCCCTCCACAACATCCACGAAGCGCAGCACGTAAACTGCCGCGGCACCAAACCGGGCCCCCTCCCCGCGCGAGAGCAGCGGCCCCCTAAAGGCGTCCAGAAAGCCCAGGAACCGGTCTAGCCAGTTGCGCACAAGGTCTAGATCTTTCAGGCGGATGTCTCGAGGACCCTGGGGGTTGGTATCCTGGAGGCAGACGAGCGTCGATGCCTGGTAACTGGCTAGGTTCGTGACAGATGTCACCTCAAGAGTGGCCGCCCAGGCCAGAAACGGCCGAGGGGCGAATGGGAAAGCGCGCAGCAAGTCGTATATCAGGCGGGAGTCTAGGGCGTCCGCTGCGAAACGTGGGCTGTGCCGGATCAAGTTGTTGAGAAGCTGGTTGTATAGGGAGGCAGCGTTAACGTAGCTAGGGTCCCAGGCGGCACGCCTGCGCGAGGCGGTTTCGAGTTCCGGGAGGAGGAAGCGCTGGCAGAGGAGGAGAGCTGGCGCGGCTGGGACGTCGGCGAACTGCAAACCCGGGGGAGAAGGAACGTTCATGGAGAAGCAGTGAAAATAAGAAAAGGAAGCGTGAAGAGAAGGAAGAAGCGAAGATGAACGAGGGATAAGAGAAGATTTATGTGGACCGACAGACATCTGTCCTTGAGAGATACTCCGAGGTCTTTGAAGTAGGGGAAGTACTGTATTCAGTCAAACAAGCTGCAAAATGGCTTCAGGCCTCCGCAATGGGGACAACAGAGTGGACAATCTTCAAAGGGCGCACTGGAGCAACCGTTGACAGCAACTTAAAGACGCATGACCTCTCATGTCGCCACAGTACTGTGAGTAGCTCAGATCTGGTATCTTTCAAAAGGGCGTGGATGTCTAAAGGACCCACATAAGCATGCCGCCATCCTCCACGCTTTCAGGAGTCCGTATCGCCAATGCTGAAAGATTCCATGTGTGCACAAAAACATGGCAAATGGGACACCTGCTTTTCTGTCGCCTCAGTGTTCTGAGTTCCGGTACGACCAGGCTCTCACCTCTTTCGCAAACGAGGGGATGGAGCTAAGTTTGAGCAGCACCCCCAGCATGACGTGGTATGCGTCATCAGGAGTGCTTTCCTTGGGGATGATTAGAGACACCAAAGCTGCCACCGCCTCCTTGTTTTCCATCAACGCCAGCACCTGCACTTAAAGGAAGCGAGCAATCTACAAGCAGCTCTTGGCAATCCCCCCCCCCTCCCTCTCCAGAGGGAACTAGAGAGTACTCCATCCGAGACCATGTAGACACACGAAGACTCTCTTTTGATGAGCTTCACTTTTTGGAGAACCATTACATCATAAGAGCTTTTGGCGCCAGATTGGGGGCCCTCCCTGCTTTGATAAAAAGTCCGTATGGATTATTGCAGAGGAGGTGACCTGAGATTGGCACATAGATGAAAATGCGTGCTACCATTGTCTGGCAAAAACAAGCCCATGTGTTTTTCAACTGCAGTATCTCAATAAGGCTCACAGTGCTTCAGGCCTTATAAACAGGTCCAGCAGGGGTCAACTGTGAACACCTGTTTTGAAGGGAATCACTAGAGTGCAAAACACAAATCTTGAGGACCGACCTGTTGATGCAATATTGAAGTCAGGATGCCGCATGTCCTCACTGCTTCCATGACAACAAAAGTGCTGCCCCAAAAGAATGCTCGCACTCTGCCAGGCCGGCTAGTATCTGAAGTCTCAGATGAACGAACATCCAGCCAGCTATCGTACTACCATCAAATGCCGCTTTGTCTGAACAGATTAAGCTGCCTGGACGTTTTCCAAATCAGCAGCCGTCCACAGCTGAAACTTCAACCGTAAAACAAACTTGTCTGCATAGAGGTAGCAAACGCTCTGCGCTAGGGGAAAAGCAGCGTGGGGGCAGAGCAGATGCAAATCAGGATGTATGTCAAGTGCAGCTGAAGACTTACCCTTCTGAACATCTTGTTTGGCTTCAAACGCATTGCTGTTTCCTCCTGGGTGGAAATTGCAAAGCCCGGACTTCCCACTCCCATGATCACCTCCTTTAGGTCTGGCAACATCTCCAGTGCCTGGCCCTTCCTGCTGAGTTCTACAAACTGGGACGCGAATTCTGCTGCCTACAGTAGACGCAAACCATTGATCAGGGTCTAACTGGAGTGGTGTGAGTAAAGTGTTATCGCCAAGACAGCTTTGTATGGACTCTGCTTTCGCCTACTCGGAAGCACCCTACTTCAGCAGGCTTGACTGAGCAATTCGTCGTCGCAGAGCGAATAGATTCTGCCAGAAACTTTCCATTCTGATAACCTCTCTGCTTGCTTCGGAATGCAAGTAACTCAGAAGCACAAGAGTCTGCCATAATCATCAGGGTTAGCCAGCAAGAACTCTGCGATAGCATGCCACCCAGAGCATTTATTCTGATGGTATCACAAGCACCTACTCAGAAAGCCCTTGTCTGATTTGATCCTAAGCAAAGTCATATTCACAGCTGCTACTCATGAATTAAACAAACAGCGGCGTCCCCCCCGGCGTCCAGGCTCACCTTTGAAGCCATGATTGCAAGGGGACTGTGTTCTCAACTGTAAAGCGTCCGTATTTCAACTCAGGCGCCTGCCCCGACCTGTCTCCTCTGCAACCCTTTCAACCGGCACTGCTCTTCAATGCACACAGCGGCACCAAGAGACCACCTTCGGGCAGAGTATTCTCGGGGTATTCTCCTCCCGAGCCCCCTGCCAGTGCTAGCTGCGGCCTGCATCAGCTGCATATCCCCACATTGCCACATCTGGCAAATGATCTTCCATATCCCTGTGCTGCTGCTAGCTGACATGCATAGAATAAGTGAGCTAGAACAGGTTGAACTTGGTGCGCCAAAAACGATAAGAACTGCTGCGGTGCGATCACTCGTCCAAAATCGACGGCGGAGAAGTCGTATGAAGATTATCTGTACACGCTAACCGTCGAAATCCAGGATGATCCCCAAGCTTTAGCGCACCAGACAACCGTGGCCGTGGCGCAGCTTCAGTGAACAGCACGGAGTGCCAGGGCAGAATTGTGCTGATCAGTTTGTGGTGGCCGGATCATGTGTCGACCTGCTATAACTAGTATATTAGGCGATCCATTCATAGCAATACAACTTCAGATATACATTGAGATTAGCCATCTAGATAAAAAGTTGATAGATAAATAATCTTATGTATGTAGTGACGCTGTTATATTGCTAGGGATTGAACGCTTGATCGCTAGGTGAGGACCTGTAGATAAATCCATCCAATCACCTGTACACTATTTCTTTGCCCTCTGGGCTATACCGAAAGAAACCATCCTGCAAGGCTGTGGCTGATAAGAGATCCTTTTCCAACGCCGAGCGTATGCATGCCTGGTGGCAGAGTCCAGAGCAGTTTGCATGTAATCCTGTTGACAGATTGATCTGTCGTGTGGGCGTGCCTGGTTTCAGACAGCAGCCACGGGCTTGGTGGTGGTGGTGCGCCTAGTATGGGAGGTTCCCTTTTAGAAGCAAGTTGCCAATAGCAACCATTTGGAGCTGCAGCTTGGCATATGTTCCAAGAACCTCAGAACTATAGGAGTTGATCTGCTATGGCATCAAAGGTGAGCTCTTGTGACCAAGTCGTCCAGCAACAAATAGAATGATTCCGATCGCTTGAAGCTATCAATCCGGAGTTTCAGAGCAGTCCTTTGCTTTTCTTATGTTACATTGTTCGTCGTCATTGTAAGTGTGAAGATGATTCCAAAGTGGTTATAAATTGGACGCCAGAACCACTTTCCGAGCTATCTCGTTCTGGGGCACTGAGGGCGGTGCATCTGAGAGACCCTTCAAGAACTTGGACGAATTCAACGTAACTTGTCATGGCAAGAAGGAGGTGGGAACAGCACCATTGCAAAGTGTGGCTGCCTGGCTTAGAGAATCTAGGGGGCAACTTGGGAGAGATCTCAAGTGCAATTCGTGACGCTGAGTAGCTGGAAAGGCCGGCTTCGGTGTAGCAATGTCATTCCACCAGGGCTATGGGCTCAGCACTCTAGGCATTGTTTGCAGGCGGCCGACTTTGTGGCCCGCTTTGTAAGGCTCAGCACGGAGGGCAGGGCGCATGAGATTCTGCAGGAGCTGAAGGACATGGTTATGGGGATAGGGCGCGTTGGCTTCGAAGTCAGCCCCCAGGAAGAAACAGCGCTGCGGTTGAAGCCAAATAAGATGTTCAAGCGGGTGAGGCTTGGTTCGTCGATATTCTTTGTACATCGATTGTTTGTGTTGATCTTATGGATTCTTTGCTCGTCTGCATCCACTCCCTGTTACCAGCTCTGCGTCTGGACAACCCCGAGGATGCATATCGTAAAACTATGACAAGCTGAGATGTGCTATGACAGAAGTTTTACTGAGTGGGTGGAAGGGGGTTTGTCCCAATGTCCGGCAGTGCGTTGGGGTTTGCCGGTTTGGCATGATTCCAAGGGGCTTAGGGGCTGTGCCTTTTCTTTATCTGGTGACAGGAAAAGCTCTCTGAAATTGTGTTCCTGGGAACTTGCCCCGTTCTGGCCTGCCCTGTAGACACCATAAGATGTTGCGCGCCCTTTCTTAAGACAACTTCCAGCTCAAGCAAGTACCAAAATAAGGTTTGTTTCCAGGAATGTTGAGGCATCCTCCGCTTCTTTGCAAGGAGCCTCAATAAGGAAGATGCAGGCAGGAATATTAAGAGCATTCTTTATTCCACGTCCAACTTTTCAGTTCGTCTCAGGCCGTGAAAAAGAAGTCCACATAGAAGCAATGTGCATTGACCGGAAGTTGAGAACTGCTATGGGCGTTTTTTGTCCACTTTGAAGAGCGAAACTGCCTGTGGTCTGCACCTGCTTCTGCCTTCTTCGATTCTCGCATCTTCACTTGTTATCTTCAATCCCTCACGTGCTCCTTGTTTCTCATCCTTTACTAAAGGCTCCCACTTTCTCCGTTCAGGCGCTGGCGTTGATGGAAAACAAGGAGGCTGTGGCTAGCCTGTTGTCTCTCGTCAGCCCCCAGGGAAACACCTGCAAGGAGGAGTATCACCTAATACTGGGGGTGCTGCTGAAGATGAGCTCCATTCCCTCTTTCGCGAAGGAGGTGATGGCTCAAATCCAGGGCCGAAATCTGCCAGTGCATTTGATAGATATTTCCGCTATTCAGATGGCATTAGGAGGCGGGTAGAAAACGTGCGTAGGTGAGTTCCTGCGGGACCCAGTTCAGCCCTTTCCCTGCCGCGCTCGAGAGGTTTCTCCTACTGCAATAGTCTCTCGCACATCCAATCACGCTGAAGAGTGGTGGCCGTTCAAAGCTGTATGGATTTGATGCCGCACAGGCGACTCAACCAACACAAACAATCCTATCTGCGACTCAAATACTCTTCATGAACTCATTCACTTGCCCGCCCACTCCGCTGAGTTCTCCAGCTTTCGTTCCTCAATAATCTCAGCTCTCTTCCACCTTATTTACTCTCACATTCAATTTCAAAGATGGAAATGGCCGACTGTCACGGCTTTTTCCTCCCCTTTTCCTTGTCATTTTGATACTCTCCCCAAGCGTTTGATCGGCCTTCGTAAGTGATTGCTGGCGTTCTCCTCCATTGCAATTACATTCGGCTCCCATGCAGTTTGGCGACGGCCCCGCCGCGTCCCCCTTCCTCCAGTTCCAGCGCTTCCTGCTCCCAAAAGTCCAGGCCGCTCTGCGCCGGCGCGCCTCGTGGCAGCCAATGTTCTTCCACACGGCCTGTCTCTACATTGAGCTGCTCAACAACCTGATGCAGCATAGCCCCCGGTTTGCGACCGAGGCCCTGAACTCCCGCATCGTTCATGAGGTGCTGCGCTCTATACCAATACCCGCGCAGCCATCCCTCTCCTGGGCGAACAATTTCGAGCTCACTTTGCTTACGACCCTAGCCGAACAGCAGGCCAAAATGCTCGTCGTTCTGCAAAAACATAACCCCGCTGGGGAACAGGAGTTCCGGCTAGACGACTTGGGCCTTTTGGGCGACTGGCTGGACCGGTTTCTGGGCTATCTGGACGCCCTTGCCGGGCCGGTTCTTGCGCGCGGGGAAGGAGTCCGGATCGGAGATGCGGCAGGCAATGTGCTACGGGTTGTGGAGTTGGTGGAGGGCCCCGACAGAATGAACCGGGCGCTTTTCACGGAGCCCAGGCGGGAAGCGCTCCTGCGAACGGCAGACCGGTTTTGCGCGCTGGGGGGAACCTAAGAGGCGTTTGGACGGCAGGTAGCGCACACGATCAAGTGCGCGGGAGTTGTTTTGGCAGGGGGCAGAGCCGGGGACTCGGGGAAACTGGGGAAGAAGGAGAGGGGGGTGCGGGTGTCGGTAACGAAAGCGGAGTCGCTCGTCCAACGGATACAGACCGCCCATAAAGAGCGCGTCAGGTGCAAGTTGCTCGGGGAGTTGCAAGCGGAGCTGCGGAAGGACGGGTGGGAAGCGGAAGAGACGCAGCAGCTCGCGGCGAAAGGGTGCTTTCCGGTTCTGATCGACGTCCTCGAGAAACAACACCGGAAAGCGGACCAAAAGACGGGGGCCGTCGCGGGAACTTTCCAGGGCCCCGTCTGGCCCACCCTTTACATCCTTGCTTTCCTCGCGGAGCCTTTCGAAGAGGTCAACAACGACCGAAACAAGGCCTTTTGTCAAGAGTTGGCGGACTCCGCGCCGCGGCTGCTGCAGTTCGCACGGGACGCGGGCGCTTCGATCGGGCTACTCGAGCTGCGCATGCTGTTGGACGTGCTTTTTGCCGCATATCAATTGGACCGGGATGCGAAGTGGGACTCACGGTGGCCGTTGCTAGACGTGCTTCTCGCGGCGAACAAGCGGTTCGTCGCGGGCTCCCCCGGCTCCTATTGCGTCTGGACCCATTTGTACGGCCACCTGGCGCTCATCCCCGAGCCGTCCGAAGAGACACGTGACCTCATCTCACGGGGTCGCGCCACGCCCCTCAGCGGCTCCGTGAAGCGCGCGACGTGGGTCGGGGTCAGGCAAAAGATAATGGAAGACGTCATCAGCGGGGCGGCCACGTGGGGCCCCGGCGCACGGGAGCGGAAGCTCGCACGCGCAGCGCTTGATGTCCTGGGCGAGGCGGGTAACGCAATGCTCGACCGACTCAGCCCGGTCCCATACGCGGCGGCGGCCCTCGAGTTTTTCTGCCGGTTCCGGTGCGTCCTCATAGACGAAGTCCCCCAACAGATCGGCCCCGTGATATCATGTCTTGGAGCGGCATATGCCGACATGGCGGGCCTCGTTCGCACGTGCGAAGGGCGGGCTCCCGATAGAGAAGAGACGCGGCGTTGGAGTATCTTGGGGACAGTTGCGACGAACCTGACGTTCTGTCTGCAGACTGTTTTAAGCTCAGAGCCCCTCGCGGGGGCGTTCCTCGCCGCGCTCGCGTGCAACGGGGGGGTCAGTTTCGCTGCGGGGGTGCTGCGGACGCGGCGGGGGGCGGAGCGCTACGTGTGGGAAAACCTGCCCGAGGAGAAGGGCCGAGCAGAGACGCCGGAGTTGCTCGACGACTTGCGCTGTCTGGCGGTGCGGCTGTGGGAGGCGCTGTCTGTTAAGTACGGCCTCAAGGAGTGCAGCTTCCAGGTAGGCGCAATGACTGGCACAGTTGAATTTGCTGTAGCTCTCTTTTGACCGAAGCCGGCTCCTCGCTTAAAAAGGTGGATGATCAGTCTTTTTAGTCCAAACGACTCGCCGCTTGAAATCTAGGGAGGGAGGGGCGCAAAGACGGCGCAAACAAGACTGACATTCGCCTGCATATCGATTCCGTTTCCTTCTCTCTTGTTTCGCCGTTCACCAATGCTTGATTGACACGTGTCTGAGAAGATGAGCATAGCAGGGAATTGTAGTCCCAAATCTTGTGCCAAGGTTTGGAACTGGAGCGAGGTTGATCTGGTATTCGAAACTGCTCCAATTGCAGATTAGCTGGTGACTGAGCTTAAAGAAAGAACTGAGCCAAATCACCCAAGCAGACCAGGCCGCCTACAACAATTTTGTCCGTTTTTCTTGAACGGAAGCCGACCCTCGACATCCAGTCCCAAGGATGAGTTGGCTGTATGCAAGGTAATCCGGTGAACTGTAAAATTACACGTTCTTGACACGTGTCGTGCTGACGTGCTGCCAGGAGTGCCCACGAGACGTGCTGGAGACGCGAAAGAACATGTTCAAGAAATGCTCGGCATGCGGCCGGGCGCAATACTGCTCGAAAGAGTGTCAGGTGAGGCTCCGTCGACCGCCGCTTCACACAAGCGAAGCAATCTGTCGAAGCCATCGACGAAAGGGAAAAGGAGTGGACACTTACATATGCATAGGAAAGTCGATAGGCGGTGCTGCAACGACAGGATCACCTGTAAGGAAGTTTGCTCGGGGGTCGATTCGACTCTGTCGACAGAACACGTTGGCTGGTTCACGAAGGACTTGTGTCAATCTTGATAGTGTCGGGTGATAATGATTGCCTGCTCCTGGAAGGTCGGCCCAGACCAAGAGTACCGAGCTGCCGGCTGCGCGGTCAATATCACCTTTCTGATGCCGACCCTTGTCTCTCGCAGGCAAGTCACTGGAAGAAAGCGCACAAGCGGACGTGCCGGCAAAAACAAGACGGGACGTGAGACAGCCAATGCTTCAAGCCAGTACCCTCACAGTCGGACTGACAACCACTGTAGCGGGTAGCGGGCATCCGTCCATTGAGGCTCTGCAAGTACCCAATCAATCCGGCGCTTTTGACCTGCTCGCATCGTCCGGCGGCTAGTATCAAGCAACGCAGACGAAAAGCATTCCACTTCGAATAGGTGATCGGACCCTGACATGTTGAATTGGACACTTTGAATGTTTATCGTGACGGTTCTGAAAGAGACTGGCAGAGACATCGGAAACGGAGTGGTGTCGCGTGATTCAGATTCTGTCTCGTTGTGATCGATAAAGATAGCGGCGAATTGCCATTGGCAAACTTCCGGCCAGGCCTTGAAAGATGCTTGTGCCGCGTGAGCTACATAGCTTGGTCAATTTAAGCATATAGGTTCAAGCAATGACCAAGCACCTCCAATCAGCTGCAAGTTATGCGTCCAGCAAAACATTGAGCGCTTATAACGCTGCGCGTCGGCCGCCCAGTCAAGTTGGATACGGGCGGTCATGCCTTGAGCGCCCTAGCAGGCTGGTAGCTAGAGCCAACTGCAATGCCCTCGAATGGGGTAATCCATTTGATCCATCAATCTTGAATGATGGCCGGCCGCGGCCGGCGGTTGATACTCATTTCGAAGAGTGGGAGATAACTTCTAAACATTACAACGATAGATTTTGACAGCACTTACCGTATAATGCTGCAGCTAGTGATCACTCATGAATCGTGCAATGCATGTTCAGCCGCCCGCGGCGGTATGCCGACCGCTGCATGCCTGGCATGATATATTCAGTGACTAGGATGGTCATGTGAGACGGTCACATGTGCATATATGATAAGTTCTCATTATAAGACGGTCAATATAGCGCAGATCACTTACATGCGCGCGCGGTCGGCCGTGCGCAGCCTGCGCTAAGTTCAATCACGATCGATTCTTAATCGCCGGCCTAGTGTGGGATTTTTTTTTCCGGCTGAGATATATATATGTGGTCCCACTAGTCAGGCCACACGTAGCGATCGGACCGTGTGCAACAATTCTAGTATAATCATTACTGGCATTCACAACGTACATTGCATCAGGATAACGTAGTGCAATCAAGCGTTCACTATACAGCTACTACTGTTTGATTGCCGACCGGCACGCAACGTGCGCATCTTTGATTGAATGCAAGCTTTGATGCATGACAGCTCGATCACCATGAGCTTCCCCACGAGTCGGAGGCAGTCCATGGCAGGCTTATGATAGATTGCCCTGAAATGTGTGATGGACGTGTCTGTCTAAAATCGGGCAGCTGCGCTGGGGCGTTAAGCATATGATTGTCTACGGTTACTTCTAGACGGGGCGCTGATGTCCATTTAAGAAGCCCCGATGTGCCAGACCTCTTAGAAACTAGACTAACATAATCTTCAATAGAACTGGAGGAAGCCCATGCAATGTGCCAGCACTTTCCCTTCAATCGTAAGACTTGAGCAATTTACAATACGCAAACGCTGAGAAGCATCTAGAAAAGCATATTAGACTCTGTCTGCTTTCAGACATCCGCGTTGAACGCCACCCTACGACGTTTACCAACGCTAATCAACATGTAGCGCTTACTGTCTGCCCAACCCTTTCCCTAGCAAGAGCGAATACGGACTCCTTCCGTCGATGATACTCCTTCAGCCGCAACTTGTTATACCCCAAGTAATCGAAGTCGATAGGCGAATGCTTTGCCTGCAGGATAACGTTCAGGAGTGCGACTCAAGAACAAATCAACAGGACATGTTTCCCTGTTGCTCACGGTTATCTCCTGTACGCGCATGGAAGGGCGGACAGTCTCAGCTAAACTTAACCAACCACATGCGACCTCGCCAAGCAACGCACCTCCCAGACCCTTGATCATGAAGCATATACAACGAGTTCTGCAAAACCAACTTCTATCGCAAGCCGACCACGCCACTCACTGGGTAAAGTACGTAACATCGATATGGATTTCGGAGGGCGAGTGACTAAGCAGACTTTTAGTGTGCCAGGTGCAAAAGCGAATGAAGCGCTAAGGTACAGTGCAGGTTACTTTTTGTTAGAACTCGAAGCACAAGGGGAAGCTTGCAAAAAGCATGGCACGCTACATAATACACGTAGGAGAAGCACAAGAAAGGAGTCAAGATCCTAAAAGAAGGCGCCAATTCGTGCAGACTTGTGTAGTCGAAACGCTCAGCTGATCACGGAGGAAAGCAAAGAGGAAAGAGTTTTCAATTCAGAATCACAAACATTTGCGAAAATCATAGGAGGTATAATAATGCACGAAAGAATCGAGAATAGTGTGCAAAAAATGCAGCATCTATGATAGTATACGTACCTGGACGAGTGCCCACACTCCCCAGTACAAGTGGCTTGCAAGCGCAAAGCAGTTGGCCTCAACGTAGAAGTTGGCGAGTTCCGATTCCGGCACCGACGCCGGGTCTTCCGGGGCGATGTAGTGCCGGAAGAAGAGGTACTGCGCATCCCGGTCGGGATACCTGCATACGAGAAGGTGGGAGATTGAGCCACGCTCCTAGGGAGCAGACAAGCAAGTACGCGTTAGTTCCGCCGTCCCGGAAACAAATGTAGTACTAAGAAAGTAGCTTCTGCGCATCTCGTTCGGGGTATCTGTGAAGGATACGCCGGAAGATTAGACGCTTTGTTGTCAAGAGGGTGAATTGCGCAGACAATTAGGTGTTTGATCCGACATAACAGAACCAGACGTAGCGCCGAAAGAAGAGGTGGTGCGTAGTAGGACTAACTGCGCACGAGGTAGCGACTGCCTGAGCATACGCTTCGAAATATTGATGAAAATGAAACTAAAGAAACAGAAGTGGAATACATCCCTTTTCGAGTGTAATGCCGGAAGAAAAAACACCACGCATCTCGGTTGGACTATCTGTGCAGGAGAGGGCGTGAGACTAAGCATACGCTCCAATGTTCAAGGATGCAAGTAGACAAGCCGATGCGTGTTAGTTCCGCAGTCTCGGAAACGGATGTAGAGCAGACAAAAGTCCCGCGCACGCGGTCAGGGTATATCCACAGGAGACGGCGGGTAACGAGCACACAGTCTCGTGATCGAAAAGGAGGAGTTAGTCAAACACACGTTGTGGGTGTGAGCCGCTGTTACGGAACGAGTGGTAGTGTCGAGGGAAAAAGTGCGCGTGTTGGGGAAAAGGCGTGCAAAGTGACTGATTCATTGAGTAAAGGGTTGGTCCCAAAAACTGCCACGTGGCTTGACAAGTCCCGTCCAAGACTCACAGCGAATAGTCGCAGTCAAAGCCCGCGTACTCGTTGAAGTGGTTCCCCAGGTCGAAGCCCCGGTTGTTGTACATTCCGTACTCAAAGTCGATCAGAATGAGCTCCCCTGGAAACCAAAGATAGCATGTGCGTCAGGAGATTCAAACAACGTGACCCTACCGCCAATCCGAAGTTATACGATAGAATTCTGGACCCTACTCCTTTCCGCTCTCGTAAATCTGGTTCTTTCGATCTCTTTTCTCACTTGTCCGACCTACCAAAACGTCCGCAAGCTTGATAAGATACTGACCGCCGGGGATTTCTGTAGTGGGCTCAGATACCGTAAAAGAGCAGGCCGCGACTAGCAAATTCTAAAAGTACGCAACAAAATCATCAGGAAAGAGAAGTGTTCAGCCAAGACATGACATTACCGAAGCTAAGAGCAAGCGGGGTGTCTGCCAGAAGACTCTTCGGCTCTTCACTCAATCTGTGTAGAGCCTTACAGTCCACCTGCCGACTCGGACAAAGTGGACGGATCTAGACTCCCGAAGAGATTATCCGGCTGACCTGTCCTAGTGGCGCATAGTTTTAGAGAAGCTTCTCTTCAACCGGTGCCCAGAGCAGAACCATTTCTGGCTACCTTCCAGGGGCATTTTAGATGTGGAAAGGGATTCCCCGCTGACCTCTTTTGTTGTCACCTTAACAAGTTGCCGGATCGTGAAAGGAGCTTCTCCTCAACCGCTGCTCAGCAGCAAACCTTGCGGAAACTTCGGAAGGGAAAAGAGTTCGCTCCGCTGACCTGTTTTGTTGTCGCACATAAAGTTGCCGGACAGCAAGTCGTTGTGGCTGAAGACCACCGGCGAGTCGAGCTCGTCACAGACTCGCTGCGGCAAGGGAGAACTTAGACGAGCGTCAGATGCAATGTGATTTTCAAGGAGATACGATTGAAGAGACGAGCGAACGATGATTGTTTGGGCCTTTACGCGGTCCCTCGTCCAAGTCGAAGCATGGGTGCAGAGAACTGGTTACAGAATCTGCGCAGCGTTCCGAGTGAAGCTCTGGTAGATGGGAGTATTGAGGTTTCGATGGATTGCAAAAAGTCCGGTGCTTTCACCGCATGATTCAACCTAACACACCCCAACGGGTGTCGATCAGAATTTTTACAAGCTAAACCTCTGACGGAAACAGAGACCCACTGTAAGACATTCTCGAGATTTAGAGCAACGACAATCAGAGCCTCAGTGCAAAACCCAACATCAAAGAAAAGCCGCAACGCAGGAAGATGTGCTCCGTTTCGAGTTCGCAGAATTCTCTCTGCAAGCATACGGATTGGGTAACGTACGAGCGCACACTCGTATTTTGATTCCTTGCAGAAGGTCGTAAGCGAACTTTGACCACAGGAAAGGGGCAATTGAAAATCACTCGCTCTTACCTTGAGCTCTTCAATCTGTCCCTTCAACTCTGCAACGCCTGCGGCTTCGAAAGTGGCCTGCTTCTTGGGGTCGTCGAAGGAGAGGGTCGCAGCTGAAAAGAGAAAGATAGAACAAGTTGCCGAGTGTGTCAGGATTTGTTTGAATAACAACGGACTAACGTGTGTTTTGTTCCATTGATCAATATTGGAGTCCCCATCAGGTACGATGCAACTGCAGAAGATGGACTGTGTCCTTTTCGTTACGCCCTTGCCACGCTTCCTACGGAGAGGCGTGCCCAAGGTGAAATGAGTTCCAGGCGCATGCGTGCTTCAAGAACAAGGGAAGAAGTTGATACCGGAATCCCGATGAGTAAGACAAGCCCAATCGAACCGCAGACTGTCAGTCCCTAGATACGCCTCAGAGGCTTCCAAAAGTTTCAGTCGAACTTCTCGTTCAGGACGAACCAAAACAGCGCACGGAGAGCTGCTTAACAAGGTTGAAACAAGAGGCCAGGCCGAAAGTTCTGAGATGCTTTCTTCGCATCAATTGGCACCGCAATGACTGTAGGTCTACTGCGAAGCCCAAAGGGAACATCTTCCTTCAGTTTTGCAGCCAAGCGACGGAAGAAGCACGGCCCCAGAACCGTACCTAGATCCGCCCACTTGAAAAGCAGCGGCCAAAGCGCGCTGGTCCGAGGCCCCGGGATGTCGAGCTTATGGAACTCGTGAAGAAGGCGCGCGATCTTGGTCACCATCTCCGGGCGGGCCATGTCTGCAAAGCAGACGATCATCGCCACTTCTAATTTTGAGAATTGAGACAACAATTTGGGCCACCTCTTGTTTGATGTCAACGAACAGCACGTAGAGCAACTTTCCACACTAATCTTGTCAAAGACTTCAGGAGCATTTCGTGATTCTAAGATGTAGTATGAAGGTATCCGATCAGAGCAAAGGTCCGACAGAGAAGCATCGCTGCCTTCTCTAGCCACCACAGAGGGCGGCCTGTTGACAATCAAAAAGCTCCAGTTAACCTAAAACTTAAGGGCGGCATTGAAACTGTACTCTCACGGAGGTCTAGGATCAGACCCTTGCAAGAGGACTTAGAAGAAGGCATCAACATCGAAAAGATAGGTGTCCACCTTTTGGCTCCAGTGTCCAGGCATCGATGTACGACTCCAACCGCCCATTTGTGAAGGCGCCGTAAAGGCTGGACCCGAATTGCTTGTGGTCGGATAGGTACTTGATGACCTGGCAAGCAAATCAGACGTCTCAACGAGCTAAGGGGCGAATTCCTGAGAGCTAGAAAAGGAATAACAAGGAGCTGCCCCTCCAAAAATGACGTCTTGGCCCCTTTACATGTGGTTTGTTTGCAAAGCCTTGATGCACTTCATAACTAGTATTGACCAGTAAACTTGTGACGCAACAGCCCTGTAAAGACTCTATGTAGAGACAAATAGCCATTTTTGGCAAGCGAACCGTCCAGACATTGTGTATCCTACTCAGGAGAACTTTCGCTTGTAGTCCAGCCACAAATGGCCGTTGGAGTGACCCACAATGTATGGCAGCCTGACTAAGTCTCAAAGGAAGAGGTATAGCACCATGCATTCATTCCTGCAACACGTGCCTTCGTGACCTTAGTGCACTGGCACAACAAACTCGTCAGTGCACCGCCAAGCCTTACTAGGTGCAAGCCGTTTCGCTGCAGACTTTTTGCGGGATGCGAAGAAGAGGAAGCCTGCGCATTCATGACTGTACCTTAAACTCCTGCGCTCGGTCAATGACCAGCTCCGTCGCATCCCCGAAGATGCGACAGGTGGCGCAACGAGGGGCGCCCAGGGGCAGAGCGCCAGTGGCTTCAAGCTTGAGCACTGCAACAAAAGGGGAAACACTTCAATTAATCCTGAGGCGCACTAAAGAAGACCCGACATGAAAGTCTACCGAGGAGTGTACAGCTCACCAGCCAGATCCCCATGTCTATGCGGAAGTCGAAGGGAGCGCAGAATCTAAACATTGTGCAGGAAGGGTTGTGAACGTCCACTGTAAGGTCCAACGGACACACCACCATTTCTCCACACAAAAAGTTTACAGAGTGACCATTGAGTTGCTCACACTGGTTTGTGATCCCGCCGCTGAGTTCTGACACCTTGACCAGGCCTTCGTCGATGTCCGACCATTGGGGAACAAGCTGCTTGGCGACATTTCTGCAAACATCAGATAGTGACCAAAAAGCCCTTCAGACATCATAAATGACGAGGCTTCAAGATCGGATTCTTAAAAGCAATCACCAATTGCCTGTGAGAATATGACTCTGAACACAATGGGACGCTGCAAAGTTTCAAGCGCTGTTGTACTGATGAGGAGCAAGGCGGCCAGTGTCGAAACAAAGGTATGGCCCTTTCAACATTCAAAGCGAATATGTGAAGGTAGTTGGGGGCTTTGTTGCAGATCCAAACTGATTCCGTGTTTCCACATTGAAAAACCCCTCAGCGCATAACACATCCTGGATATCCTATAGAATGCTGATTTGCATCCTTGATGATAAGTGAGATCTTTGATCCTGATTTACATGCAACCTGAAAATGTTATGTGCTGTTTCTGAGCGAGAGAAACGAAGCCCCGTCTCCAAGACCGACTTGCTGTGAAAGAAAGGTATGAATGGTGACATTATGCTTGACTCACATTACGTTGCCATTCACCTTCTCCCTGTCCGCTTTCAATGTGATGGTAGTTTCTATGAAGGGGACTCCACTGTAGTCGATAGTCATGTTGCAGCAAGTGATCCTTGCTAATTACTAATGGCAACTCTTAACTAAGTCCGCAATTCAGGCAAGCACCGCCACATCAAACACTTCACCTTCTTCAAAAGTGGCCAAGTTATTTCAATGCCATCGTTTAAAAAGACGCCCGCTCCAGGTGTCAGACGACTCCCTGCATGCTGGCAGCTTCAATGCTGCACACGAGGATCTGAGAACTAGCACCCTCAGGGACTTCTTCAATCACCGAAACTTTTAGAAACTCAGTAGCAATCGAAAGTTACCTGCTACCTAGGTACCTAGGTGGTTCCTGAGCAAGATAGGTATGAAGAAAGCAAGCTCCTTTCTGGATACCGTACACTTGTTCCAACTTCATAGACTGAAGACAACTGAAGAAAGAGAAAATGCAGAGACTCAGGAGAGAGAAAGAGAGCAAGACAGAGAGAGACTCAGACTCAGAGAGAGAGAGAGAGAGAGACTTGCCATGCATTAATTCTGTTCAGTCTGTGCGACTCTTCAGCCCTGAAGATCGGATCGATAATTGGCCGTCCATCACGATAGGCTGGGCCACTCGACGGTCGATGGGACACCCTCAACTGCCCCTTCCGCTTTTTGAATTGCGGTCTTCGCCTCGTTGACTCTGAAATGCGGAGTGCTTCATGGCAGTTCATGGCGCTTGTTGTCCCACTTGTCTTGCCTGCGGATCCAGGGGCTATGAGACACGTTCTTGCCTGCTAAAAGAAGGTGCATCTGTGGGGGCCGGGCATCAAAAATTGGGAACATGATGCTTGCTGATTGCCAGTTGGACTTGCGGGGGGCTGACAAAGTAGCGCTATAGATGCAGCATTTGCGGCAGCATTCTGGTAGATTCTCGCAACAGATCACAAGTCTTTTAAGTGTCTCCTTACTTAGCACTACTGCATGGTGCAAATGAAGAGCGGTGTAGCTAGATGCCATCTGGTTCACATGAAAGCATAGCCGCGACTTGGACACCATGGACGTGTCAATGTCTGTGGATGGCCCGGCAAACTTCCTGTCCGGAGCAGACAAGGTCGCTGCTGCTGTGGACAAAGGTCAGCTCCTTGTCAAATTGCAGGCTGTGTGCACTGCGACTGGTCCGAGTCAGAATGGTGTAGATTCTGTGTTGGATCTCAGAAAGACCGTTCCGGCAGACCGAGAAGGCTTGTGATTCTGCCGCTCAATAAGGTCAAGAAAAAGCCATGGCTAGATCCAACAGCACAGTCCATCATCTCAAAAGTCGTGTTTGTGTGGCAAGAAAGAGCAGATCAGGGTGCAGGCTATGATGTGAGAATAGGGCGCTGGCTTGTTTCTCAAGAATTGTAATCTCCAAAGAACTGTGTAAAGACATGGATCATTCACGTACCAAATCGTGCAGGGGGCTACAATTTCCGGAAGCGCAGGAGCCCCACTGACTTCGATCAGAAGGCCTGGGGGCCTATATCCCCAAAACGAGGTAGGCCAACATGTCTTCCATAGCATGCCTGCATTTTTGAGAGGTTCCAACTCCATACAAAGCCAATTTCAAGAGGAGAACATGGAGGGAACAGAAGCAGTTGTCGAGATCGTTGTAACATGAGGTGGCCTCTCCCTTGGATCAAGCTGGAGTTGCAACACTGACTACGCTACAATAACAGCCTTGACAAAGGAAGCAGCAAGAAACTTTTGGATCAAAGTTCAACCGCGTAAACCTGCCCTCTGATCAAACTGCAGAGAAGCGCGAGGGAGGCTTTCCCTCTGGCCCGCTGACTCACGGAACGGGGACTGAGAAGAAACAGCCAAAGTCCCCGCACAAAAGGCGCCCGGAGCAGACCCCCGAGAGAATTGCACTCAGGGGCAGAGAACAGGATTATGAAGAGGTAGACTCAGGGGGTGGTGTACTAAAGGTGGACCAGGCGAGGCAGAAGTCCCCCTCAAGGAGATATGAGCAGCAAGAACCACCGCGTGGGGGCACTGATGCCAAACCTAGGGTGGAGAAAGCGCGTCACGGCACCCCACAACGAGACGACCCAGCACAGAAGTCTCCGTCCCGCCGGTATGAGGACCAAAAGCCCCCCCGGAGCAGTACCCCTGCAAAGGGGGGGGTAGAAAAGGCACGGCAGGGGTCCCCCTGGAGAGAGAGAACAGAAGCGGAGAGGGCAAAGTCCCCTGGAAGGCATGTAGGAGGTCCAAGCGCGTTTATGGCGTCAGAGGACAAGGGGCCGGAGGACGGCGGGGGGAGGGCGATCGTGAAAGACGAGGTGACGGTGCTGAAGCGGCAGCTGAAGGATGAGATGGCGGCGTCGAAGGTGTTGCAAAAGAAGCTGCGCGAGTTTGAGGAGGTGAGATTTCTTGCCAGGGGAACGAGTCTTCAGGCTGGGATTCTGTGTGAGTAATAGAGAAGCTGCAGGCTGCATGAAGATGAGGTGATCAGTAACAGAGGGAGAAACCTCAGCAGGGCAACCAGTCAGAGCTACCCAAAAGCTTCACATATGAAAGCAAAGCTCTTGCAAGTGGCATTTGATGGAGCAAGAGGGCAGTGGCTGCAAGGGAAGGAGAGATCGGCCAGGTCATGTCGTAATGGACCAGAGCCGGATCAAAATCTTGCTGAGGGCAAGATTGGAGAATGCGTTCAAAATCGGCCAACCTTGTTAACGACTTTTACACGTGGAATTGCAGGGCGGTCCCTTGTAGAGCAGGGGTTTTGCACAAAACTACCAGTGCTGCTGAACTCGTCAAGATGCTGCAGAAAACATTATGAAGAATACGCTGCTTCAGTTGATGGTCGGATTGCCTGTGACTGACATTCCTGTGGCCTTTGCAGAACAGTATTGTCGGATAATCATCTCTCTTCGTCGTTTGCAGGAGCGAGCGCACGACTTGAAGGACCTGACGCGTGCGATGGACACTCTCAAAGCCAAAGAGTACGAACTGGAGATGTACGTGAGCAACCACCAGAAGAACAGGGCCTCCCGGCAAGGGCAGGAGCAGGAGGTGGGTGTGGTGTTTTAACCTCATTGTGAAATGACATGTCAATTTTCCTGTGGGTTGAGTTGCATTCGGGGGACAATGCCTAGTTGCCGGTCACTTACTAAGCTTTTTTGATGGTTGGCAAGCCTGCGACAGGTGGAAGGACAGGGCCTTCCGGCAGGGCTGCATCTAGGAGGCAGGCCTGGCGGCTTACTAGGATTGGGTCTATTCTGGATACAAGATGTGAGTTGGATCAATGAGTGGCCTTCCTCAACCGTCCGGGCCCTTAGCCCGGGCCAAAAAGCTAAGTATGGTTTTGGCAGCAATCATGGACAACGGGGAATGCTGAGTTACTGATGTAAGACACAGGGAGACGCTGACACCAGTAAACGAGAAACGGGTAATGTGCTTCACATTACACACTTGACCTTGGACCTCCTCTCCGCGTCCTCAACGTCCACGAATCCTGATGTGGGTATGTTGACCAGATGACCAGGCTTTCAACGAAAACCTAGCGCCGATGACCACAGCAAATCAAGCGGGGACGATCAGGGTTTCACAGCAAACCACGCGCCAAGTCAACCCGAGTGTTGTCGCTTGAAGACAGAGCGCCGGGCATTCTGCACTGTGCAGGTGCGTAGCCGGTCGCAGGAGCTCGAGGGCCAGCTGGCAGCGATTGCCGACGAGTGCGGCGCGCTGCGGGACGTCCTCGAGCGACGGACGCGGGAGATCGACGACCTGAGGCGGCAGCTGAGCGAAAGAACAGCTGAGGCCCAACGGCTGGGTGAGAACCACAGGGTTGAACATGTTACTATTCTGATTGTTGACGACGGCAATGGTCGCAACGCATGGGGTCTGTGGGCCGCCTGCGACGACAAAGAACTTGGATCAGCATAAAAACACCGCTCTAAGACGATTCAAGATTGATGCGTTTGACACAGATGTCTATTGCATCTGTTCGAAAGTGCCATGTTTGTAGTATTTCCGCACTTTGAAACGACCTCTCAGTGCTTCATACAACTCGGCCCGTATTGGAAGTTCTCATATGCATCCCTATCGTGTGCATCCGCGCTTCCTCCCGTTTGTCAGCACAGTGCAAGATATATTTCACGGTGTTGCTCTCAGGTGAGCTCGTAGACAAGCAAGCAGCCGAGCTGGCAAACGAACGGTCCAGGGCAGGCGACCGGTGGCGTGACCTCCACGAGCAAATCTGCAAGGAGATCGGCGTAAGAAATGTGTTCAAATAAGAGTTCTCACGTGCATCCGATGTCCTGTCTCGACCTGGGATTCTTCTGCAGGGCGTGAGAGCCCCGACTTCGCAGTTACTCCATTCCTCTCGGGCATCTCCTTTTGCTGCGACAACTCTAGCACCCGATCCCCTCTAGACTTAGCTGACGCCATTGCAGACTCGTGGAGGGTGGAGATGCTCGTATATGGAGCTGGCAGACACTTGCCTTGACGGCGCATCCAATAACGCCCATTTCTTGCGATGCTAGTATTCTGCAGAAGTTTCTCCTTAGGTCCTAGATCTTACTTCAAGGTGAAAAATAAAAGGATTTCCATTGCTTCATACAACGGGGTGGGCATTGGCTGGTGATAATATCCGGCCGACCCAGAAACAAGGCACTTAGTTGAAGCTCGTTACTTGTGCTTCAGGCCGTTCATCCCGCCAGTGGCGATGCTCCCTCACCGGATGCTTCCGAAGCAGAAGATGCGGAGACGAGCGAGCGGCTCGAGAACGAAACAAAGGCTGCCGTCAGGAAGCTAGGTAAGGTCACAAATGTGGTCATCCTCCTCACATTCTGCATCTAGAAAGCTCGCTCCTCGACTCCGTCAGATGAGAAAGAAGGACAGGGACCTGGTACGAGTGCAGAACTTGGGATTGTCAGGCTTTAGACCGCTGCTTTTGCACTCCTTTGAAGGGTTCGTTGACGTTTGTGAAACGCCTCGTGAATCCATGACGTCCCGCTCCGCAAAATTGTCTGATGAACTATGATATCTGCATCGCCCGTTTTAGAATCCTCCTGCCCTTTTCAGAAAGAGATCTTCTGAATCGGAGTAATCTTGTGGTAGCAACCTTTGAAGTTTAGGTCACCGATATGGAAAGCTCATCGTTGGCAAAACAGGGTACCCTAAAACTTTCACCCTCATGACTCGTTGCACGATCGAAGGCTCAAAAATCCTAAGTCCTTGTGACTCCACAACAGTAGGCTGCTTCAAATGTTTGACCATCCGGCTGTTTCTCTTTCTGACACAGTCTCGGAATATGAGGAGCTCAAGCGGCGCTTCGCCCTCGAGAGCGCGGCCCGCAAGAAGTACTACAACGAAGTGCTCGAAATGAAAGGTGGGCCGCCGTATTTACACTGATTCCCTTCACTGCTTACGTGAGCAACGACCTGTCTTTTCAGAGCACAATCTTTCCTTCATGATGTTGGGCTGTCTTATGGCGCAGTGCGCCCCATCGTACGGTCCAGACAGGTTTTGGCGGCATTAATAAGAGGAACATGTTTATTGGAAAGCGCTGCGCTTTCTAGCTTGATTCGAGAGTCTCAGCCGCTGTTTGCTGCGCTTGCCAATACGTGCTTGGATTAGGCTTGTACATGTGTTTGCATGGAACTTGGAGTCAAACAGAAGCGCACACACTGCAAGCAGAACGGGTCCACTGGTTTGCAGACTCGTGTGGCCTCCGTTGTCCTGAGTACAAATACCGTTGTCTTGAGCACAAATGTCAACAAGCTGCATACCTATGCGACGATGCGATGAGAACGTTTGACTCGAGCGCTGATTCAAAACCGGCTCAACCTCCTACCCTCACGGCTACTCCGCACTTTTAAAACATCTAGTCGGTTCTCCTAAAATATCCCAACTTTTCACGACTTGACCACGTTCGCCTCCCCCCAGGCAACATCCGCGTCTTCTGCCGCTGCCGCCCCCTGGCCCCCTCGGAGATCTCCTCCGGGCAGTCCAACGTCGTCGACTTCGACGTCAAGGGCGAGAACGAGCTGCTGGTCCGCTCGGGGCCCCGCCCCGGGGACAAAAAGGCGTTCAAGTTTGACCGGGTTTTTAACCCGGAGGCGGACCAGGCGGAGGTGTTCGCGGACACGGCCCCCGTGGTCATGTCCGTTCTGGACGGCTTCAACGTGTGCATCTTCGCCTACGGGCAGACCGGCACTGGCAAGACTTTTACCATGGTAAGGAAGTAAATGATATTTTTTGAGGAGTGCCTTTTCCTCTTCAGCTCCCTTCCCTGTTCTTAATCTTCTGCTGCCTCCTTCAGTCGAGCTGTGCGTTCAGAACAGAGGTTCACTCGGAGTGTGCGTTCCCTTTTGACACCTCCGGTGGAAAAGTGCAAAGCTTTTGATGGATTGTTTGCACTTGACTGATGCACTCTAGGAGCGTCCGTTGCGGCGAATTGTTTAGAGGTTGCGGTCTTCACCACGATCGGTGATTCAAAGGTCGGCTGGAGTTGCTCCTTCTTGCTTTCTCCCGTAATTTCGATTCGTTTTCGAGCGGTCGCCTTCGGCGGAATCTTTTGCACTTGGTTATGGCACAAAGGGATAAAGACGCTCGTCTCGAGGAGGGTACTTTGATGGGTGCATCCATTGCTGATTGAAGTGACTGACGCTTCCTTGTGACTTTCTCAAAGGACTCCGCTTGTTCCCCCTTTACCTTCCTCTCCTGAACAAGAGCGACAGTATGTTTGGTAAATGCCATGGCCCTCACGACTTTGATCGGCGGCCCCATTTACACCGCAGGAGGGCACACCCGCCAACCGCGGTGTGAACTACCGCACCATCGACGAGCTCTTCCAGCTGGCGCGCCAGCGGCATGGCGAGGCGCGCTATGACGTCAGCGTGAGCGTGCTGGAGATCTACAACGAACAGATCCGGGACCTGCTGGCCGCGCCGGGGAGCGGGCAGAAAAAGTGAGCGGCCAAAGTCGGGCTTGTGAAAGCCGTTACGCAGAATACAAGCTAAAGGCGGAAGGCTGCTTTCATTTCTGAAATTGCGCCGCAAGCGTAAAACGAGGAGTTCGCACCAGGAACTGAAAATTGGAATATCTTGTTATTCTTACCGGGTAGATGTGTTACTCTGGCAAGAGATCTGAAATAATGCAGTCCGCATGTTAGACGGAAGAGGCAATGCTTCCACGCCTTGTGAAAAGAAGGCGCCCATGGATCTGTGCAGACAGCTCCCAATTGTCTTCCTTGCCGCCCCGCTGGAAACTCTCACACCACCTCCCCAGCCTTTTGAGGACGGCCCACACAGTTTTCATGCGCTACACAACGCTGAGCTGACGTCATCGTCACCCCCGACCAGGCTGGAGGTCCGGCAGGGGCACCAGGGCAACCATGTCTCGGGGCTGATGGAGCACGTCGTGACGTGTGCTGACGTTGCACACGCTGAGCTGACGTCATATCAAATCCCGCTCAGGTTGGAGATCCGGCAGGGGCACCAGGGCAACCACGTCCCGGGGCTGACGGAGCACCCCGTGACGTGTGCTGACGAGGCGTGGGAGCTGCTGCAGAGCGGCAGCCGCAGCCGGAGCGTTGGGGCGACCAACGCCAACGAGCACAGCAGCAGGTCGCACTGGTGAGCGGGGAGTTGGTCGCCCAGAGTGCATGAACGCACTGAGTCTGAGGTCTTTCTCGGGGAAGGTTGCTCCCTTCATCCGTTTCTGCGACGTCCTCCTTCAAAAGAGGGAGCGAAAAGCAAAAGTGGACGAGCTTATGTAAGGCTTACTGAAAGGAAGTAAGGATGGCGGAAGGCGATGCGCAGAGAGGACTCGAGGAGGGTTTTGAGGGTTATAAGAGGCATGCGGCGCCTTTCTAACACTGAAAAATGGCCTTTCCGACGGCAGGCAATGGCTGTTCGCAAAAGGCGGCGTTCCCAGTTGCTCGCAAACCCGTGGCTTATCTTCTCAGATTCGCCAACCGAATCGTAATTTCGAAGCTCACCCTTCGTTGTTCTTCCCCTTTCGCCAGCATGCTTGGATCTCAAGGTCGAGAACAAGGACAGCCGGGAGACCACTCGGTCGCGGCTTTCGCTGGTGAACCTGGCCGGGAGCGAGCGGTCTTGGTTTTTTCATCATCTCGACCATATCGCTAGACCGCACCCCTAAGGTCTCACTCTCTAATTAAGAGGTATTGTTTGGTTGGTGAGAGTTAAGAGGTATTGTTTGGATAGTGAGAGTTAAGAGGTATTGTTCGGTTAGTGACAGTTACGAGGTATTTTTGAGTTAATAGTGAGAGTTAAGAGGTATTGTTTGGTTAGTGAGAGTTCCGAGCACCTGCGTCACGCTCTGGTGGATGTAGTCCTTGTTAACTCATCGCAGTATGTTTGTCATCTCTGTCAAAGGCGGAAACAAGGTAATCGAGGAACCCATCCGTTGCTTCACTATGTCAAATTCGATCACTAGAACGGGGTGTGATGCTTGACTTTCCTGCCCCTTTCACGAAACGCGCAAATCAACCTCATTTTTCTTCTGCCTTTTTTCCTCTTTTGCCAGCATGCTTGGCATCTCAGTCAAGTGCGAGAACAAGGTGACCGGTGAGACCACCCGGTCGCGGCTGTGGCTGGTGGACCTGGCCGGGAGCGAGCGCGTGGGGAAGAGCGAGGCGAGCGGGGACCGGCTCAAGGAGGCGCAGAGCATCAACAAGTCGCTGGCTGCGCTGGGTGACGTCATCGCTGCGCTCACCACCAAGAGCGCGCACGTGCCGTACAGGTGAGGGCTTGGACGTGGCCGATTAGTAGACGCTGCTTGAGAGAGTCCGGACCTTGAGAGCGATGAAAGAGGTAACAAAGACGCAACCCTCTACCGGTGAGTCGAGAGAGCAGGACAGGAAAACAGCGTTCATGGCAGATGCGTTTCACTGAGTGTTCGCTTAAAGTGATTTTTTAGCTCGCTTATCGGGCTTCTGCACCCTACGGCTGGCGCTTTCGTTTCCTCAACTGTTGCACCGCGTACCATTCCGACATGAAAGCACATCTGCAGCAGTACGCGGGATCCACAAAAGCTATGTTGGTACATTACAGAATCAAACTCCATCGTCGGAGTGCCGTTTCCCCAATTCGGGTATTCAATTCTTGGATCGTTTGCCAACAAATATTTTAATTGCGAAGATCTGGACATATTTTGGCGCAACGATGGCGGAGCTTGACGCACCGATTACAAGGCTTGCTAAGCAGCAGCCAGCCGCAACCAGAGCAACCGTTCGGAATCACTGTTCCAACCACTTGCTTTCTTCCGCCTGTGCTCACAGGAACTCCAAGCTGACGTACTTGCTGCAAGACTCGCTGGACAGAGACTCCAAGGCGCTCATTTATTTCCAACTACGAACCAAGCTCTGACGGCAACTTTGACTTGAGTGAGTGTACGGACATGACCAGAACACCACCCTTGGACGCCCCATTTCCGCTCCTCAAGAATTTATTATCCTCCCCCCCACTCCAGGAACTCCAAGCTGACGCACTTGCTGCAAGACTCGTTGGGCGGAGACTCCAAGGCGCTCATGTTTGTCCAGATCAGCCCCGCCGAATCGGACGCCGGGGAGTCCCTCTGCAGCTTACAGTTCGCCAGCCGCGTGCGGGGGATCGAGCTGGGCCCCGCCAAGCGGCAGGTCGACGGCAACGAGCTCTTCAAGTACAAGCAGCTGGTAAGTGCGCCCGCTCTAACAGGGCCTTTCGTGGTTGCCAGCGCGCGAGGATGCGCGCTTCTGATTTATGATAGGTTTGTTTTGATAGTTTAAAGTGGGAAAGGGATTGGTTGTAAAACGCCAAGCAAGCTGGTGGGTGCGCGGCATGAATAGGGCGTTTCGTTTGGCCAGAGCGCGGGATTCTACAGTATAAGTCTTTAGGGTGCATAGTAGGTCGTTCTGGTATTGTGAAATTGAACAGCACTGGTTTGGTAGCATGGTGACCTGCGCGTTCATCTCTCGAAAGGGCTCATGATAGTTTCATTTTGGTGGTACGAAGTAAGGACATCAGTGCTTGAAACTTAATCCAACACAGTTGAAGGCTTTCAACTACTTCCACAGCACACTTGGCAGGCCGTGCGTTCAATGAGTCAGTCGAAGCAAGTCAGAGGTTTTTTGGTTGATAAGTTTTCTCCCCAGCATTTCTTGTTGTGGCTTTCCGTGCACGGCATCCGAGCATTGACTTTGGTCGAAGAGCGTTCCTCCACAACCTAGTTGTCTCAGCCGGTCCGTACCGCCCCTCGCAGGTTGCCTCCGCCAAGCAGGAAGCCAAGGCGCGGGAGGAGGCCCTGAAGCAGCTGCAAGAGGGCGTGCGCGCGGTCGAGGGGCGGCTGCAGATCAAGGACAAACTGTGCGCCACGCTCAGCGAGAAGGTGAGACTTAGGACAGGTTTGAAAATGGGTTCTAACCTGGTAAGTAGAGAGTGGTTCGTTAAATAGGTTTCGTTTATGGTCCTAGACTGCGGGCACGGAGGAGCCGAAGAAACGGGGGAGATAACCAATCTGCATGTCCAACATGTCTGTTTTCTTCCCGGGCTCAAAAAGCAGTCACTGTTTTTGAAGGACGTCGTCGTAAGGAGTGGGCAATTGAAACAGCTCTGTACGTGCCCTCATGTCGCCGAATGTCGGATGTGGCACAAAGCCTCCTTTAAAGAGGGCGTCGTACCCCGGCGGCCCAAAACGTCAGCACCGGTCACGCCTAAGCAGAAAATCAGGCACGGGGAATGCTGCTGCCACTTTGATTTCTAGCGACAAAGCGCCGCGAGCGCCAATCTGTGCAGTCGCCATATGACGTCATGCGGATGCATCCGCAGACGCCCTCTTTAAGGATTGACGTTCTCGCAGCCACGACAGAGCAAAGGTTTCCTTTCTCGTGTCAACCCCCTTGTACCTAATGTTTGAAATCATTCGAACGGATTGAAACGGCAGGCCTGGTCGAATAGCCCTGACAACACATGCTCGAGCTTGATCCAACGACTAAACACCTCTCTATTCGCTGGAAAGTAGCCCACGCCCACAGAGAGCAAGTCTCTTCTAAGCGAATATCCAACTTTCCTTGACAGGTGCGCATCAAGGAGACCAGGGAAGCAGAGCTGGAGGCGCAGCTTCTGGCCGAACGGCGGGCCCTGTTGGAGGCCCGCGCCGCCGTCGAAGCTGCGCAAAACGAGCTGCACATGCTGCGCCTGGCCGGCAACAGGGCCCCCGCCAACCCGCGTTTAGAAACGGGCTCGCGAGACACCGGCGGTGGCCTCGACCGGGGACCATATTCTCAAGCCACGTACCACGAGAGGCAGGAAGGTGGGCGGGGCAACAGCAGTAGCGCGCTTCATGGGGGTGGCGATTACAGGGCTTCAGAATCGGACCGTCGTCATGAAACGGGTCACCAGTCCGGGGCGGAGAGGCCGTACCAGGAGCCGCATTCTACGTCGGATCGCGTGACTGCGGCGATGGCGGCGGCGCAAGCGGCGATCGCGGAACGGAAGGCGCTGATCGAAAGCGCGCGCCAGGAGACCTCGCCGCTCGGGAAGCAAAACCCTAAACCCTCCGCCGGCGACTTGCCGACGTCAGCCGCTAAGCCCCCCGGTCTGCCAAGGCCGGACTTCCACCGGGAGAATGCTCATTCCGGGTTAAGAGAAACTGGGTTTAGGGAAGCCGGGTTAAGGGAAACCGCCGGGATGACGATTGGCACGTCAGGCGGGGCTGAGGCGTTTGGAATCACCGGCAGAGGGGCTATTCACACCGGGTCTGATTCGACCACGGTCGACGCGAGCGTGAGTCTCGGCGACTGGGGCAGGGGCGATTCGCGAGGGGGAATGGGAGCCAGTGTGAATAGCCGTCCGTATAATCAGCAGCCCGGAGACCGGCGGCTTCCCCCCTGGTCAGAGACCGCAGAAGCGCACCAGGGGGGTCAGAATGACCCGGGAAGGCCCCCCCCGACCGTGAACAGGGCCCCGAGAGTCGTTGCGTCGAGGTTTAACGTCGCGGTAACGGGACCGACTATCGGGACCCCGCTTCGAGTGCGGCCAACCAGCGCACGGCCGCCAGTTAGTGCGCCAAATTTACAGCCTGGTTTGATGCAAAACCCCGGGTTTGGGGCGGCGGGCTTCGAGGAAGAACGGCGTGGGAGCGTGTATCGAACAGCCCCCACTTCAGCAAACCCCGGCCCCGTAAGCGGTGCGTTTTTGGAGGAGAGAAGGGGAAGCGTGTACAGGGCCTTGGGCGGAGATCCCAACCAGCCGTACGGCAACCAGTCAGAGGATTCGGGCGACGATAGAAGCGGGAGCAGGGGCTCGACGGTCGCTGCGAAGCAGGGGGACGCGTATGACGCTTCCAGGGCGCCTTTGGCCGGCCTGAAACCGAACCGGATTGATGCCGGACCGGGTTCAGCGCCGTTGGCAGGAGATGCTAAGGTGAAAGGTGCGAGGCCCGCGTTCTCGAAAGGCCAGTCCGGCGGAATGGCGGCGGGGGCGCAGAGAGTGCGGAATGGAGGGCAGGTTCGCAAGCAGTTCATAGCGACGCAGGCGGCTGCAATTGCGGCGCAGACGAACAAGCCGGTGGAGCTAGTTCTGAGGGAGAAGATGTGGCAATAAGAAAGAAGGGAGCACGAGCGGCACTTTGACTCGATCTGATACTTAATGCCCTTGTTGGCAAGGATACGTCAAATTTTTGCAGGGCTCAAAGAACCTGACTCTGACGATTGCCCAATTCAGAAGGGTACCTACCTATTTGTTTATACAAGCCGCTTAAAATACATCGGAAACCGGCCATCATGGACCTAGACCACTGCCCTAGACGCGGCTCACAACGATTGTTGCATGGATCCGAGATCAAACTGACATGAGCCGTTACCCAGAGCGACCGTACCTTTACATGCATGCGTGCAGATGTGATCATGACGCAATTGCCAGGCCAGCCTGTACAGAGGGCATGAAATGAACTTACCGTCTAATGCTGAGTATGGTACATGTGTGCTAGTTCATTGTTCCATATATAAACCGTCGCGTACTGACTGATGGACACTTCTCTTAAAGCCCGTGCGTATTGCAAAGGCATGGGGCGGAGTGCGGGTACATAGCAGTGTTAGTGCTGACGGTTCGCAAGAACATGTTTCTACAACAACTCCTCGACAACCTGAGAACCTACGGACCAAGAAACCAATCTCTTATTGCATCTGCACTGATCGTGTCATGGTGCGGCGGCGGGCCAGCGCGGCACATATGTGACCGTCATCATGGGCAAGTCGAAGAGATCCTCACTGAGCCGCTCCACTAGTCGATGGCCGGGGCCGCCCGGTACAGTAGTGTCGTCGGTGCTCAACTAGCTCTAGCATGAGTTACTTGCATTGCACGGTCAAGCCAGAGTGTCGGACGCGGTACACCAATGATGCCATCATGGCCGCCAATTTTTACATTGCAAGCTGCAAGCGACCATGCGCGCGGCCGGTAGCATTCTCTCAGGCGCGTGAAAGGCCTTGCAGCGGCCAACCGCGTACTGAAGCTGCAACTATATTGAATACAATTGAACACAAACTGCTAGATATATGAGTTTCGCTGATTCAAAACTCAGCATTCTAGTTACGGCACTGTCTCATTCTGGCTACATTTTGAAAAGGTAGCCAGAATGAGACAGTGCAGTGCCGTAACTAGTTTGGGCTGAGCCAAAAGCGGACTCTTTTCGCACACAAGGTTGATCGACGATCTACATCATTGAGTCCGAGCTCCTGAGTCCATCGTACGTAACCATTGGCCATCAAGTATAACTTGCGCGAGCCTGTTAACTTCGTGCTAACCCTCGCACGAAGACGACGTGCAGCGGATGGGATTGTATCGAAACCCAAAACCTCCATTTCGTTCAGCAAAACCGTTTAACGAAACCAACCTAGAAGTCGACTCCAAACCCTAGAACTTAAGCAGCACTTATATGGTGTCTTATATGACCAGTGGGAGGGCAAATAGGAAGGCGACAAGGAGCACTGTTGAAACTCTGAATCGGTCGCCGTCCGAGCTCCATGGAAGTTGAGCGGGCATAGCGCACTTTTCGCCCATGAAAAGGACCTGAGTCGGGAAGACGCCAATCGGCACGTGCTTGGCCGTTCCCCCGGGGATGCCCGAGTCGTTGAACTGGAGGAAAGCAACAAGAACCGGAAGGTTTGACCAATATAAGGTTTCCGTGCCTCGTCCTGCGTGCGCCGTCTTTGTAAGTATACTTCCAACGCTTCTGAACAACTTGATATAAGGAGGCGTAGGTCTCGAGCTCCAGATGATTAGTGTTTTCTTCGTCCAATGTATTTTGTCAACCGTGTATTCAGGTTAACAAGTAAGCCCAGCGAACAAAGATGTTGAGATGAATTCCTCAAAAAGGGACGCCGCCCAACAGCACTGATAGGAGGGACAATAACGAACCAGACTAACCCCGCAAAACGCATACTTTTGCTTACGCTCGCTACTGTAGATAGCTGAAAGCAACCCCTCTTATGGAGATTTCCAATCTGGACACAACATGCTGGGGATAGAAGCTGAGGGGCGGATTCAAGAAAATTTTCAATGGTTCTAGTCTGATTGGTACAGAACAACAAGCTGTAGGTTCCAGAGGTGTAAGCGATGACCGCACCTGGAGTTCAGCGCCAATGTTCCCGCCGTTTCCGAGCAGGTAGTTGTTGTAGTACGAGTAGCCAAAGAGCAGCAACTCGTTGTCTGCAGGGGTCGAAAGCAGAGTCTGTTTCAGTCAGACTTTCTTTCGTGGGAAGGTGGAAGTTTTCGTTGTTTGAAGGACCACTTACGGCGCCTGGTGAACGTCAAAAGCTCCCTCGGTATCGCAGGGTTCGACCGAGAATGCGGGGGATTCTCAATCAGCCAGACCTTTTAAAGAGGGTGTGCCCACACTGAACGCCTTGGCAACGCTTGCTTCTAAACTGGCCGGACATGACACCTGAGCTGAAATGTAATGGTGTGCCTGCAGTTCGCGAATAGGAAGCCTTCAAAACGCATCGGTTGCTCTGAGAAGCTATCGAGCACACGGCGCGGGACTTGCCAGGTAGCGAGAAATCCGGACGCTGTTAGACAGGATTGGTCTTCGATGGCACGGCCGCAGTCTCGAAAATGACGAAAAGTGTAAGAGAACGACGAGGAGCAGTGGATTCCGTTCCGGTGGCACTTCTGAAAACGGACCCAAGCAATACGAGGATCGAAAGAAACGGGTGCTTTCGGAAGGAAGTAATGCGAGACCTTCCCCTGACAAGAAACGTATTCTGCATCATATTATTAATCCCGAAAAGAGAAAATCAAGAGACGGCTTACAAGGGCAAAAAAACAGTCACAATGCGGAACCTCTAAAGCTTCCGCGGCGCACTCACCGGTGTCGGCCAGGTTGTTGACCGAGAAGACGTTCTCCAGGTTGCTTAGGTACGGGAACTGCAGCACGAGCAGCCAGTCGCGCACCGTCTGCGGGCCTGGGTTGGCCAGCATAACCTTCATCACCCAGCCCTGGACAAGTAGACGAACGACACGTGTCAAGCTCTGATTGGGGAGAATTTGTAGGTGTGCAAGATTTGAGGGGTACGTTAAACAAAAGGAGAGGGACCGGATGCAAGGGCGTGCTGCTCTCTGCGTCAAAAACGATTAGACCCACAGGGTGACGTGCAGTAAGGAAACGATACTGGTGTGAACAGGCTCGTGTTCCCCGGACAGAATGTTTAGAACAGGGGGCTTCGTGCACGATAGAAAGGCCGACGCCTTCACAGGAGGACCTTTTGGCCCTCTTTTGCAGAGGCGAATTCCTTCGTCGCGCGTGGCAAACCGCCGCATATCCATCGGCTGAGTTGTCGGGCGGCTTTTCCCACTGCAAGGCAACGACTTTGCTGCGGATTGCCCACAACGGACAGCGTCTGCTTCGCATCACAAAAGGAGTCCTGGTGTCAAGCAACCCCGGCAGACACGAAGCCTGGTGTGAAAAGGCTCACCCCCTTAAACGTCTGATATAGGTCGAGGTGAATACTCGTGGTACAGCCGTCGGAGCATGGAATCTGCCCCGGAAACTGGACCGGTTTCTTGTCGGTCGTCGGGCCGAGATCGATCGCGGCGGCCGCACCGGGAAGCGCCGGCAAAGTCTGGTCACACCCCTGGGCGTATTGGTATTCGGAACACGCACACGCGCAGGCGTTGGGGGTGGTGATCGTCTTGTTCCAGTAACCTAGGAGGGCAAAGGTGGAACGGTCAATTTGGTATTTCAGAAAAGTTTCAGCAACGTGTTGTTATGGCGCAGAGTTCGGTCGTAGTCTTGAGCGTATCGGTATTCGGAACAGGCACACGCGCAGGCGTTGGGGGTGGTGATCGTTTTGTTCCAGTAACCTGGGAGAAAATGGTGGAACGGTCGTTTTGGCGTTGCATGAGAGCTTTAGCAACGATTTGTTATGGCGCGAACCGCAGGCAGAGTTTAGACAAAGCCTTAGGCGTATTGGGTATTCGGAACAGACACACGCACAGGCGTTGGGGTTGTGATGGCTTTGTTTCAGTAGCCTAAGAAAAGACAGGAAACAGGATTCATGTTCACCGACAAACTGGGTTGTCGGCTTGAAAAAGTAAAGTCGCGACGTACTAGGTCCTTCAAAACAAAAGGCTCGGCAAAATAGTTGCTCAAGAAACGTAAGGCTCCGGCGGTGTGAGTAACAGAATCCAAAGGCCTTACATCCCATGGTAACGCTGCAACTGTGGTGCCTGAATTACCAGGAGCTAGGAAGCGGAAGTTGTGATGTTTTTTAAACCAATCAAAACGAACCGTCAATCTTTCACCATCTCAGCAAATCAGCAACTGGAATGTGAACGCTGGAGAGAGCCGGTAATGACAATGAAAGAAATGACGCGACGGTCCCCTGACATTGGAACAAGGGAGACGGGCGAGGTAATGAAAGAAGGAGGAAGGACTAGGGCGGCTCACTGCTCATAGAGACGCTGCATGACGTGGTCGCCAGCGCGTCTGGTGTCAGCACGCACTGAATCGTGTACGTCACTGCGCGGAAACAAAATCCGGTCGGCTGATTGCACAAGCGCTCACATTTTCACTTGTTTCCCTCCAATTGCTGTAATTTCTGCTGCTTAGACGGCTCAACAGCGTAAGTAAGGGCAGCTTCCAGAATCCGCCGGTATCGATTCTAAAACCTGAAGATAACGTTGCTAAGGAACGAAGTTTAAAAAGTGAATACCATGGATAAATATCATCTGGGTCCTGAAGTGCCGAAGGATAAATCCCAAGACCCAAACGCCCTGATCGAATCAACATCCCGAAGTCAAGCAAAGTTTCGAAACACTAATCACAGAGCCCTAGAAGCTTAGAGCCTGTGCAAATGCGAACCCTGAAATCGTTAACGCCGACATAACCCAGCGACTAACCTGCTGCAGGGTAGGTTGTATACGAATAATTGTTCAGTGGGAAGAGTGAAGGCTGCGTCTCGACGGGTTCACCGCAAAGGTATCCGGGCACGCCGATCGACCAGTTTTGAGGGGGCGAAAGATATTTGGCGTCGAAGAAATCTATGCTCCTCCCCAGGGATAGCGTAAGGTTGGCCTGAGCGAGTGTGGAGTTGATCTTGTACGTGGGAAGAGTGCCGTTTTGCCTGCACAAGAATTTCGGGGTTTCGGATTCAGAAAATTGGGTTTCGTTCCAGTTTTTCAGGATTTCAAGGATCGTATTGAGGGAGGGATTGGAGAGTTTAATGGCGTTGGCCCGGTGTTGCTTGCCGAGACGTATGGAAGTGAGAGGGATACTTCTTGTCTTCAGGGGCTTCAGGATGACCTTCTCATTGTTAAGAGAGGATACCGGAAAGTGAGGCTTCAGCCTTCATAAATTTTGCGAGCCGGGTTCAAAAGTTGACAGGCAGCCTCCACCTTGGTGAGGAGGAAACAGATTTCGACAGAAGGAGAATCTCTAGAGGGGTATTTTTTGAAAAGAAGCTTGAAAAAGAGACACTTGTAAACCTCGAAGGTGGACCTTCGAAAGTGGGCAAACGAGCTGCAGCAATCTGCTTCTAGAAATGGAGGTCTTTGCAAAGGGCAACCAATTGCAGCGTTTTCGGTTTGACGGTTCCGTCAAACGTCAGCCAAGTAGAATTCCCAACAGTGCACTTACGAGGACGTATCTCGTATCTTGGGGGTCGCAGTGCACGCCTGAGCGCCCGTAACTGGGCCATACGTCTTCCCCGCGTATGATAGGCAGTCCCCCCGGTAAATGACGAAGCCCCCGCTGATGCTCCAGATGACTCTGTTAGAAGCACGACTTCTCATTTCAGCTCTATGAGAACGAGATTCCGTTGAACACCATTAACATCCTTTCATTGATGCTGGAAGCTTTGGTGAAGATGAGCGCGCTCGTCGAAAGGACAAAACCCTTTTCAGAATCCTTTGCTTTTATGAAAACGAGTGTATCATTGTGGGCTGTTCAGCATATTGTGGCTGGTGCTGAAAACTTCGGAAAGATGAGAGGCGCTCGCTAATAGATGTTATACAAATATACTGTCAGCCCTCTATTAGGGAGTCATTTTGAAATCCGATGGCGATAGACGTTGCTAACGGCAGTCAGAGGAGCATCGCCAGGTCGACGGCAGAACTAATGCACGCCCAGACAATCGACGGCGGAAATTGCTACTAGACGAACACGACCTGAGGTTGATTTGTAACCAATTTCAGCACTTCTTTAGATTGAGATGTAGCCAGACAAGCACATAAGGACGGGGGGAGTTAAATAGAGGATTAAGATCGAAGGCTGTCCTTACTCCTGCATTTGGAGTGCAAAGCCGAGGGTCCACCCATCGCCACTGATTGGCCGGTACGGCTGCTGATTCTGGATCCGGATGAAAGCCTGAAAGAGCGATTTGGATTCCCCTCAGCCGCTATCTGGTGTTCCCGCAATGAAAATCTAGCTTGAGAGGAGCTTCCTGTTTGATTGGGGGGTTGCAATGCGGCAGTGGGGCAATGCGATTGGCAGCTTGGTAGGATCCACGGAGAAAATTCCTTTCCGCCTACAAGATCCGAGAAGAATGGAAATCGCAGACCCAATTCGAAGATTGTGTCCGATACAGTACATAAGTGGTGACTGGCCCGCTGTCTAATCTGATAGGAAAAAAAGGCTCTGGTTTATAGCAGTCACTCTTAAGACCGATTGTAGGAAAGTATTTTCCGTACCAAAACAACATCATTTGTCTCTTCTGATTATATGAAACTCTGATGAGCGCGTTTGACGTCGTGTTGGCGTCGACAACTGTTTACTGCGCCGCGAAAGTTATGCTGGAAAGCCGCACAAGCTTTCGGATCGGTCTGCGGTGAATCATATTCAAGCTAAACCTGTAGAATCAGCAACGGATCCTTTCCGTCAGAATGAAACGGAATTCCGGTCGGCAGCCTCCGCCTTTTTGCGCACTCACCGTGTAACTCTCTTTGATAGAGTTGAGCACGTCCCACGTGATCTGCACGCCCGGGTTTGCCGGCGCGGGCGGCGCTGTAAGGTAAAAAAGGAATTCCAGGTTTGCGAGCAGAGAAGTCAGGGTTTGGAGACAGAAAAGTTGGGGTTTAGAACCGAAAAAGTAGGGTTTAGGGAAGGAGCCTCGGGTTTCGGAGTCGCCTTGGCGAAGTGGGAATCAAAGAGCCGTGTGTCAACTTTTCCAATGCAGAAGCTTGAACCAAAGCCTTCGGCTCGAAAGCAGCAGACGTCGAAAGGAAGAAGTCAACCCAAGTTGAGAAGCAGAATAAGAAGATGACGGAATCCTGAGTGGTTCGCGAGTGGCTCTGTAAGAACGCAAGCATTACCAACAGCAGGAATCTAGATACGCAATTCTCCAAAGTCGTTTTGAGGCCTTCGTCGCTACTTAACAAAGTGACGTCAGCAATCGCTCCTAGCCCTGGTAAAAGGCACGAAGATGGTCAAATAGTTCTAGACTCCCAGAGTATTACGGGTACGTACGAATAGGGGCGGGCTTGACCGTTGGAACCGGGGCCAGGAAAGCCTGGCGGCAGCACGTGCGGATGTGTCGGATGCCTGCGTTGCACACGTCAGAAAACGCGTGAGAGCGCGCCACGTGGGGAGGGCGTTAGAGGAGCCACGAGCAGGCGAGGGCACTCTTGAGCTGACGTTTTGGATATAAAATGCACACAGGGCTGACGTGGAGTTCAAAGGGCTTCGATCAAGCCTCTAAATACCCAATATCAATGGCAAAAAGGTCCTTTAATTTTGAAAGGTTCTTTTGAAACACGCTTTGTAACCTCAAAACATAAGATACTCCGCTCTAGATGATGAACTACTCTAAGGAATCATCCCGTATCCAACTCCACCGGAGAAAGACAAGGATTCGACACCTTGGGGCTCTTGCTTTGCAGAGACCAGTCCGTGCCAGAAAAAGTCTCCTTACGAAAGGGACAAGTTTCGAGGGAGCATCGCGACGGCAGGAATTCTAAGACTTTTCTCGGTAGAGGTCCTCACTTTCCGCCGTTGGATCTGAGGCTGTGGCGTCCGTCGAATTTGTTCCGTTGACCAAGCGCAGGTTGATCGGGTCGCATATGACACCAGGCGAGATGAAGTCCATGCCCACAGGCAGCGCGCGTAAAGTGGTGTTAGCCCCGATCTCCGTTCCCTGGATCGTTGTCTTGAACGTGTACTGAGTGGCGTCGTAACCGGCGAGGAAAGCCGGCTTGAGGGTCTGGAGCTTTGGGGGGGGCTGGAGTAGAAGCAAGTTTGCTGGAAGGAGAAAGGAGAGAAGGTGATTTCCTGGAAGTTTGTGGAAGAAGCGTGCACAATCTTGACAGTCGAGGCCGGTATCGGCGGCTCTTCGGTAAATGTTGCAACACAATTGTCGTTAATAACATGTAAAGTATCATATGATCTCGGGAGAGTCAGTCAAGGTAAAGCGAGTCCCTGCAATAACAAGGCTCTTTGACTTGACGGGCAGAACATTCAACTCCGGCAGAGCAGTCGAATTGGTGAAATGTGCTGGGCGTCGAGCAGAAGTGGGTCCAGGCGAAGCGGCTGCAAAGAAGCTGATGAAAACCAAGGCTATGTGATGGTAGCTTTAAAATGTCAGCCTCAAAAACGTGCGTCCATCTTTTATTGTAGACTACTCGGAACACGGATCGTCCGTAAGTGGGCTTGCAAGCAAGCGAAGCAAGTGGATAAGGAGCTAGATAAATCATAAGGGATTTCTAATCCAAACTTCAATTGACGCGTAGAACTCACCTGTCGCGACATTCCCTTTGCTCATAAGCAGCGCCAAACGCACAGGCCGCAAGACGAGGGTAGCAAAAGTTTACCAGACAAAGAAAATTCCAAGAACGCACGCTTACCGGCGGCCGGCAGCTTGACCCCCGCGGGGGGGAGCAAGTCGTTCCCGCCCGTAAGGACGTCTTGGTTCGCAAAAGCGAATCGGATGCCCCACTCGCTGATCGCCCACTTGCCGAAGTTCTGCACGAGAAGGGGAAGCCAACGGCGTCGAGACGAGAATCATGAGCTGGACGTTTTCCCGGTTAAGCCCCCACGATTTCTTGTACGACCCTGTCCCTTCATATTGGAGCGAGAAGCAGAGCAGACGTCCACGTGGTGAGCGCCCATTCGTCAAATGTGTCGAATTTGTTTATCTTTCCGTTGCTGGAAGAGCCGACGAAAATCAAAAGAGTTACGCGGAACGATTTAACAGACGATGCATCACCCTTGCAGGCTCTCAAAAAGCTCCCTCCTTGAACCAGTCAAGAGCCAAACCCTAAAATCAGACGTCATTGGCTGGCCTCCCGGCTTTGAGACGAGAGTCTGCCTTTCAGGGCGGAACTTACACAAGACCACCGATAAGGTAGCACCTCCGGATCCACGCAAATTTTCAAAGCCTCGGCAATTTATGTAGCAGAAACCGACCTTTCAAAGGCTAACCGTTCCACTTGCCTGTATTTTGACTTGCGCCGTGTAAAGAAAAGCCGGCGCGGACCCGAACTGCGTCTTGGTCAAATTGCCCACGATCAGATACTCCACTTCAACCCCGTAGCACAGATAAGCGGGCGGCGGCGGGGGATAGGTTATGTTCAGCTTCGTCGTATTGATCGTAATATTGAGTGCCTGGTAAAGCGCCGTGATATTTAGCGTCGGCAGGATTGCCGGTAGGATCCGGGTTAGGTTAAACTTCTTGGGCAGCACGGTTATGTTTAACCTCAAGAAGATTTCCGTCAGGTTATATTCCGGACTGGTGGCGTTTACCAAAAGCGGGTTGGTGGCGGTAACCGGGCTCCCAGTATCGTTAACCAGGTTGGTCAAGAGAGGGGTCCCGGCAATCTGCTGCAATTGGCGGTGGGTCGGGTACTGGTTCTCGAAGCGGTCTTCCGCATCCCAGTCCGAAACGGAGGGGTTTTTGCTTGATGGGCACGGCCGGTTGGGGTTTTGAGCTCCGGTTCCGCTGGGAATGTCCACGCACGAGGTGGAATCTGCAAACGGATCGAGGCATAAATATCAGCGCTTATGGCTTGGAATGCTTGACGGTCCACTTGCGCGTGGTCAGAAGTCGTGCACTTTGTTCCGTCAAGTAAATCAGCAGCAGACGAGAGCGCTACACGTCTGCATTCGAATCTTTCGAAGACGACGGCCAAAACTGCCAATATCAGTGCTTCCCAAAAAGATTGGATAACAACAAGATCCTTTGGACACGCAAAAATCCACAGCTTAACAATCCCCTCTTCTAAAATTCAAGAGCGCACCTGATCAGAGCTCGATGAAGTAGTCATCAAAAAGGAAGGAAACAAATAGCACGAAGTCTTAAGACCTTACGTTTGCAGTAACTCGGACCCACTTATTATTCAGTCGCTTACCTGCAGATGCGGAATCAGGAGCTACAAAGCACACGGCCAGGATTGCAGCGATGAAACTAAGGACAATCCCCCGTCTCGCACTAGAGGGCCCCATTTGGCTGCAATAGGCTGCAGAAAGAAAGAAAACAATTCACGTTGGTTGTTCAGACACAACAGCTGTCAAGTAGAATGATGAGCAGGAGAGCCATCCAATCAGCAGGAAAGCCTTCCCGCCACCAAGAACCATTGCTAGCCGTCTCATTTTGAAATTTTCAGCAGAAGTAAAGGCTGTAATCAAGTAGACGGACTCTCAAAACGGTCCCAACGAAGAAACTTAGTTCAAAGGGTTTCAAGAAAAGGCTGAGTTCAAGACAAAGCTGAAGGTGATAAAAGCCTTAGGCCCGTTGCGAATGATGAGCTCTTGGGAAATGATCTTGTGACTGCTAAGCAACATTAGGTGCGGGTATGCCAATTCCCACGTGCTCGTCCCGAGAGCTATCTTCAATGCGTGCGAATCACTCAAGATGCCCAGGAAAAAGCTAACCAAAGGATTCCTTCAACGTCAAGAACAGCGTCCAGGGGCTTCCTCTGTTTCAGGGTTTCATAATCAGCTCGCCAACAGATTCCCAGGACGGAACTACGATTAGCAAATTGCTTCTGGTAAGGACTGACCTCAGAAGGTGTCTGCAGACCCTCTTTCGTAAGATGTTTGATAAAGCAGCCCGACTTGCCGCTAAGGCTCCCTTACTGTTGCCTGCTTATCTGCAGCGGGAAAGGGCCTCAGAGAATGCTGTCTGAACGGTCCAGAGCGTCAACAAAGCCCAGAGTGCCCTTTACAATTGATAGGCTCGTTCTCCAAAGATTCTCTACCTCAAGCGCTTCGCAGGAGCTTTATCATGACGACTCCTGACAACACCGTCTCTAGTCCTACTTTCAAAAAGGGGAATCAAGGGAGTCAGGTGCTGCTACGTCTCTTGAGGAGCAAATCCTTCGCAAGCCGAATTTTCGAGCAAGTCCTCCGGTTTTTTCTGAGAGGACAGATTTTCTTTTTCAGGCGAAGCAGCTTTGAAGACAGTTTCTGCTCTCCGCAGCACAGGATAGAGGAATTCTCCACGACTTGGCAAAGGGATCGCACCGCTTTGCGTGCTTGAAGCAAAGAGGCCACGTTATGCTCTTTGTGTTGCCAGGCTGGAGTTCAACTGAGGCTTCGACGTCCCAAGGTTGAAGAATGCATTTTCAAAGACACTTTTCTCGATCGAGCATGCAACTCAAGAAGCAAACCGGACCAGTTTAGTGGCAGGAACCTCACTTCGAGATCCTCGATCGGACCGCTCAACTATTTCGATGCAACGGCAACAATCTTGGCAACCCCGATCCTTGTGTTCCTTGAAGACGCGGATACCGCTCAGCATAGATATGTCCAAAATCTGGCTTCTAGGAAGCCCCGACAGAGGTCGAGGTGCCATAACCAACCTGGGGAGTCGCTATTTCATGGTCTCCGTTTACTCCAAACTGAGGCAATGCTCTTACACAGATCAACTCTCACTCTATGCTTATCGCCCTCATGGAACCTGACCATTATGAAGCCTTTGCGCAGAATGGATAATTCCACTCGCGCGTTTGATTCAAATTGCAATCGAACGATCATATAGTATGATTCACGACCTCAGCATGAAGAAACGTGTCTAGAACACTGTACTTACGATGGCCCGGTGCGAGTCGAACATTTATACTTCTCGCAATCTGCAATCTGTACGTGTTTCTTACATGCACGCGGCGTGTTCACAGCTGGCATGTGTCGACTCCATATGACCCACGCGCTGAAAAGGCGGATTGATCCGGCGACATGTCGATCTTACAGTATACAATGCGCATGCCGGCCATTACCAGGCACAATAGACAACTCAAGTTCATACTAGCCGTACGGATTGCAATCCCATGCATGATGAGTGATCAGAACAGCATTGCATGCGCGCGAAACAACATTGATATAATGATCTCGGCAGCCGTCATATCAAACTTGAACGCGGTTGTGCATTCACTACGCCCTCTAGTGCCTTCCTGGATCGACATGATTGCTTTTCTTTGCCCGTGAGAAGCGAATTCTTAATTCCACAACTCTACTACACGCAACTGGCCGCCGCTGCGGCTCCCTAGTCTATCGGCCCTACCTAGCTACGATTGACGAGAACAATTAATTGATTGGACAGATGTCCGTGCGGTTTAAGATTTGTAAAGTTCTAATACTAACTAAGTCGCTGCCGTTGTGCCTCTTCGACCCCAATAGTTACACACCGCTGTACGTTCCTTATAGGTAGGTGAGTGGCCCCTTCAACACGCTAGCAATGCTGTTATAAATACAGATACAATAATATGCGTTATAGCCAGCGCCCGCAGGGCGGAAGCTAGAACCAGTTTTTGTGAGTAGGGAAACATTTTGCCCGACCTACGACCTTTACATGTACCCTAAACCATACCTTATTCAATTTGCAAAGCACCCTCGCCACTTTTTGCTAGCGCTCTCTGACTCGCATTATTGAAATGCACATCCCCCCTGCTTATGCAACTCGATGCCGGTAACGACTTTCTGTCAACACTTTCTGGTACTTCCGTCTCAAACGTAAAGCTCGCCACCATGTCCCGGCGGATTGCGAGGTGGAAGTTCATTCCCGCCGTCCGATGATCACCATCGGACCCCTCCGATTCGTCCGATTCGGACACGACGAAGTACGTCATGTTGGCGGTAGCCGTCACCTTGCCCCGACTCTTCAGCCGCCCCAGCCGCGGCGCGCGCGCGCTTTTCTGCTCCAACCCGCTCGCGCGTATTGACGCTTCCGTAATTCCCCCGACTTGAAGCCGCCCACCGCTGTGAGGCGAGAGACTCGTTCCCTTCTTAACTACCCTTGCGTCCGATTGCGCCTTTTGACGAACCTTTTTCAGAGGGTCCGACAGCTGCGCTCTGTCCGATTGTAATGTTTGACGGGGCTCTGGTTGACAGTCTAACTTATGCGACTCTTGTTTCCTTTGTGCTTTCCCTCCGCCGCCGTTGCTCTCGTCGAACCTTTCGTTAGCTTCCCTTTCAACACTCCGTTCCGCTCTTCCGTTCCGATCTCGTCCCTTCCGTTCATCGCGCGCTGCGCGCGCTCCGTGCGGCGCGTTTCTCCTCTCCTCCACTTTGCGCGACGCTCCAATTTGCGCAACAAAGGCGCCTAAGTCCGCGCTTCCCCTGACGGATTCTATCGAGGGAGATTTTCCGTCCCGCTTACCCGGTTCCGCTCCGCTCATGATCCCGGGCTTCTTCTCCAGATCTTCCTGCAGCCACGGGGTCAAAGCCGGGTCCACATCCGAAGCCCAGTGCTTTTCGACCTCAACCTCGTTCTTGGTGCTGGGAGGCGTTACCAACCTTCTTTTGTTACGCCTTCTTGCATGGCTGACACGTGGCGCTGCCCCGACTCTTGAATTCGTCGGCGCCTCTTCCGCGCATGCCTTTTCTCTAACACTTTCCCCTCCTTTTCTCCGTTCTACGCCTCTCCTCTCCTTATCCCTCAACACAGACCGAAGGTCTGTTGGTTTCCTCGGATGCCCCTTTTTCAACCCCCATTGCTGATCACCATTTCTTACATTCTCACGAGACCGCCAGACTTGCCTACTTTTCCCTTTGTCTAGTTCCCTTTTCTCCCTCCAAACCTTCCAGTGCGCTCTTAGCCCAACAATCGCTGCCCACCATTGATACCCCGTCTGCATTCCAACGGCCACGATTTGAAGCCCCAGCATCGCCGCACTTCGTCCCCCCTCTTCTTCCGTCAGGATTCCGGTGCCCGCGGTTCCGCTCCGGATCGCCTCCCGCTCCGCTCGGCCAGATAGCAGCGCCAAGCTGAGCGTGAGTACTTCTAAGAGCCCCGTCCCCGTCTCAACGCCTTGTAACGCTCGGCTGACGTAAGGCTTAGCGATGACCAGCCAGGAGAGGAAGACCGCTGACGTCGTCAGGAGCAGGGCCACTTGGCCCAAACCCGGCTCCGAGCCCGCCACGTGGCGCTCCCTTGCCGCGAGAAGCGCCGCAAACACCAGCCGCTTCGTGAGGACCGCGCCCACGTGGCACGTCCGCAGCATCCGGACGAGCGCGCGCGCACCGTCCGCAACCCGCCGGGCCATCCCTGCCCCCAGCAGAAATGGTCCTGAATGATGAGAACTTTCTCCTCCCATTCCGGACGATCCTGGCCGTCCGGTGCCTCCCCTGTGACCGCTTCCGGACGCTTCAAGCCGTCCACTGTCCCGTCCAGTTCCTTCGGACGTGTCCGCGAGTCGCGAACGCCTGTTTGATTTGTTCGGTTTAATCACGGTCTCGTTTCCAGAGAGATTGTCATCTCGACAATCTACAGGGGGCCGAAAGGACTCGAAGAGGAGTCCGAATCGACCGACCGGACGTCCGGGCGTCCGGCTCGTGTCGGTCCACCGCCCCGCGCAGGGCGCGCCAAAGCAGGCGGCGACCGCGCGGCCGCGCCACGTGGGCGCCTTTGGGGAGTCCCTGAAGGGCTCGAAGGACGCTCTTGAATCCTGCACAAGAGGGATAAGCGGTGGTGATACTCCTATATCTTAGGTAGGATTATTTCTGAGTAGGATAGTAACAGGAAGAACAAAACTAAAAACCTAAACCAAAAAATGTACCCGCTCCGCACCCGTCCCACCCTAACCCCCAAAGTAACCCTACCCGTTCACCGGGCATTGACCATATCCTACCTAGAACTTACCTACCTAAATCATAGGTCTATGCGGTGTCCGGCACTCGGACCTTTTAGAACGCCAGCACGATCCAGAACTTCGATTCAGACAGCCCCCCGATTTCAGTAAGCACCGAATTGATTTGTGCACTGCTACGGAGACGCTTCGCACAAATTTCAAGTACCCTCTGGACGTAATAACAGCGGAAGGAGAGACCTATCAAGAGAAGGCGAACGTTTGGGCTAAACTGTGGGATCTAAAAACAAAGTTTCAAGGGGGGGGACTGCCAGGCTTACAAGTATGACGTGAGTTGCGAGAAAGCCCACGATGCCGACGATAGCGGAACAGGGGATGCCTAAAAGAAGCAAAGCTCCCAAGAAGGCGTGTGCCAACGAAGGGCCTGCGAATAAAGTCAGAATTTGGTTTAGCAAAATATTCAATCGAATTACCATGTGGTCAAGGAACCGACGGTCAACGATACGATTGATGAGCGGCTGAGACTTAGGCGGGAAAGTTGATGAGCGGGAAAGCACAAGTGCAGGTTCAGTCTGAAGATAGAAGTAAAAATATACAGTCGAAATTGGAACATCAATAACATGAGTTGTTATTCATGATTCTAACAGAAGCAGGAAGTGAGGAGAAGGCGCCTGTTGCAGGCGCTCCGGCCATTATTCAGCGTGCAAAATGTGATGTTCCATCAGGTGCATTGATGAAATGCGTTGACTTTCTAACAAACAAAGGGTTGCATCAGTGCACTGCTTTGGAGCCAGTACGATCGCCCGGAGAGGAAGAGGTTTGGAAAGCGGAATAAGTTGTAGGCAATTATTTGCAAGACGCGATTGAAGTTTGAGAACAATGGTTCATAGAGGTTCAGGAAAGAAAGTTTGTGGTGACGAAAAGGCCCAGGAACGGAAGCCGTTAACGCTTCTGCCAACATCTCCAATCACTTGTCAGTCTGGTACCACAAATGCATTGGGCAAGTTCTCCGCTCTCTTCACTCTCGTTGGGTTCCATACTTACGTGATCCTCAAAAGTCGCAACAAATGGGTTTGTAATTTTTCTTGCTTCGTAACCACCTTTTTGATACTCCTGTTTCTGACGTCGTCGCTAACGTAAATTCACCCCTGCGGCTCACCTTGCGAAAGTGCGGCGCAAGCAATCGACACGGGATAGAAGCAGAACAGCCCCGCTTGTAACTCTGCCCTCGGGAAAAGCAGAAGGTCGGGTAAAGTGCGGTCCGACACACGTGTCCAGACGTGCGACAGCGCGGTTCGGACAACGGACGTTGCGGACACTACGATGAGAACGCGTCCGAAGATCGGCCCGGAAGAATGCCAACTAGAGGAGAAAGGACGACGGAAGGGTTTTAGCTTGCTAGGGTCATTTTTTAAAGTTCGCCAGCACGTTACGGATAACGGACGTTGCGGACTGTACGATACGAACGCGTCCAAAGGCGAGCCTAGAAGATCGCCAATCGTACGAATACGGAGTGGTGAAGGAAATGAGTACACCGACGTTCTGCGTTAAATAAAGGTTAGGGACGATTAGAAACGGGTTGAGAAACGGTTAGAGACGGTTAGAAACGGGTTCAGAAAACGGTTAGAAACGGTCAGAAACGGGTTGGGAAACGTTTAGAAACGGGTGGAGATAACGGCTTGCTTTTGTCTGAAGTGGTAAAAGAGGAGTATTACGTATTTCGTATTTTTTAACAGAGCTCTGGGCATCAGTCTCGAATCTGATGCTCGACTATGGTTGGTTCATCCATTTGCGGAGAAGAAATAACGGCGAAAAATCCCAAGAAGCGATGGTACAGAATTTCAGTCTTTAGAATGTCAAAATAACCCGTTCTGACTTTTTTGGGTTCCGAATCCTCGGAGAAGGCAAATTTTCGCACTCTCTGATTCCGGTTGAAAAGATTGATTTCCGTTCAGAGATTTTCGAAGCCCTTCCTTGGAGGGCACCTTTTTCTTCTGCACATGAGAACGTATGCATCGCTCCCTCCTAGACTGGTGAGGTTCTGAGCCTGTCTTTACAGAGTAGCGGCTTTAGATTATGGCCTGCAGAGACCAGCTGTTCAGTTACTTCCGAGACCTTATATGCCATCGAATCTGAAAAATGAGTCAACCGTACCTCTCGGTCTGGCGATTAAGCAGTGACGTTGGGACGGGAGCCTCTGCTCCGGTTCCGTTCTGCGAGAGAAGCCTCCGGAATCCGGCAAGGGTGGCTGACGGAACCGCGGGTGTAGTGGCAGCAGCGGAGGAGGGTGACGTTGGACGGCTTTCCAAGTTCTGTAAGTTGAGCCTGTTGTGGTTAACACCATTCACAGGAGGTTTTGGCTGCTAACCAGGCTGATTACCGGACTGAGTCTTGGGTTATCAGCCAAACAACCGGGCTTCAAGACCTCGTTCCCAGGCTGGTTCTTGCCCAAGTCTGGTTACTGAATAGCCAACATATTCAAACCAGCCCATAGCCAGCCCATAACCATCCGTGGTTACGGGCCTAAAATCCCTGTGATTCCTGAAAGTTTTCTTCGGTGCAACAGTGAGCAAGAGGTATTTCTAGAGCTTGTGCGACGAACTCGATTCATTGCTTCCCATCCGCCTTCGTTCAAGGAAAGAGGCACGTATGGCTTTCCGAGATTCCTAGGGTTCATCCAAATCTTTCAAAAACGCCAGGAACGCCTCTATAAGTCATTTTTGACGAGTCTTCTTTAAACGCTCCGTGACATCCTAGCGACTGGCCCGTTCCAAACCGAGCTGCCATCTTAACCTCGGTCTTTGGCCTGATCTTCCAAGATTGACTCCAACATATCACTGCGCGAAGCTTTACGACAACAAAGCATTTTCCCTAAGCGGCAATATTTTACGAACAACCGATGCACCAGATCCGGCCCAATACAAGCAACCAAGGTTTGGTTAAATAAACCCTCGCTAACGAAGTTCACAACCTTACCATTGTTGCGAGGCTTCCGGTCACTTCCCGGAACACGGCGGACTGCCGGATCGCCAGCTTCCGGAAGAGGGCGAACGTCTGCACCGTCCCGACTATCCCCAGTAGATTGCCCCGGGCGGCGAAACGCGGTGTGAATGCGCTCGGTAGGCCGCCTGCCCACAAACCGAGGAGGTCGCTCGTTTGGAGGAGAAGGGTGGGGAGGAACGCCGCCACAGAAATACCGGTAGTAGTCGCGAGGCCCCGGGAGACGATCCGCGCGCTGAGCGCGGCCGCGGCCGCGGCGCGCAAAGAGCCTGATGCGGGAGGCGCAAAGTGCTTGAGCTTCCGTATATATGGATCTTCCGTCAACTTGAAGAGAATTCTTCCCTCGAAACAGTTAAATCTTGCGCAGGGCGGATATTTGGCTCGGATTTAGGTTGCCGATCAACGATGCAAGGAAAGCGCCGAGTCACCCAACCTAATCGGGCCTGAAACTTCTGATAAGCAAGCTTAAGTACGCAAGCAAGAAAGCTCTGATAGAATCCACCTGTTTGCAGATTACTGCAAGGAGATAGTAGCAGCGTTCCGCGGTTTTCTTTGGAGATGACGTGTGAGACAATTGCTGAAAAGATCGTGTCAGACTGAGATCGCCTGTGTTTCATCGGACTGTGGGGAGGTCTCGACGCCTCAAATCCTTCAGGGGGCTTGGAATTCCCCAGACCTGTTGAGAACTGAAGCCACGAGCTCTACTGGACTTTCAAGAGATTACAAGCAGATTGAGGGCTCGACGAATGTTCTTGCTCCATTGAATCAAGTTTCGGTTTCAAAAGCTGACAAATGCAAGGCCCAGGAAATCCGTTCATTGATAGTCGGATCCGAAGCGCTGCAATTCCAGAGTAGCCAGTTGCCCCAGAGTGACCGGTTTTCACACCAGTAATTAGCCCACTTTCCGATGCTAGACGGGGGGCCCTTAGGAGCCGACTCTGAGCTACGACGTACAGAAGTTGGCAGCTCTGCGGCCCTTTTCGTTGAATGTAAACAGGGGACTCGAATTGTACAGGTACGTAAAAGGGGAGTAAAATGCAGAAGCTGCCAAGCCCCGAAAACAAAAGGATGCTCACCGAAGCTAATCTTCAAAACGTCCGAGCGTTGGTTAAGATTCCCGGCCGCGTCTCGCACTGCTCCCTCTTCAACCCAAACGGCTCCCTCGGTAACGGCAGCCCTTACATCCCTCTCAAGCGTTACGATGTATCTGAGGCCGTCACCTTGAGGAGCCACCCCGGTTACGCTTAATCCGATAGCCGAAACTTGACCCGTCCCATAGTCTGACCCGGTTAGCGTCCCCGTTTGGTTCGCAAACACGAAAACGAGTTCACTGAACCGGACTTCAACTAAGTACGCACTGTTCAACGCGAGGCCGCCGAAGATGCCGCCGGGGCTGCCACGCGGCGCTATTGACACCGTCGGACGCACGGTGTCAAAGAGGAGCGTAATAGCGTCCGAACCTCTGTTCGGGCTGCCAAGACTGTCCGCACAACTTCCGGGCAGAATCTGGACGGTTACCGTTCCGTTCCGTCCGAACGGAACGACCCGGAACGAGAAAGCGGTGCCCGGCGTCCCGTCCCCGGCACCGCTGATGGTTACCAAGGACGACGGGTTGCTGACGTCACTTGAAGGGTTTGAGCCGCCGGGCGACGCGCTCGCGGCCGCGCTGGTCGAGCGATGCGCGAGGAGACGTTCCGCTGTTCCGCCCGTCACTTGAACCCCGCCAAGGCTGAATCCGATCACTTCCCGGCTGAAAGTAATCGTTAACAGGATTGGTGAAGAGTTCGTGGCCCATTCTGTGCTGCTGACGCCACCGGTTGATGTCAGGCTGACGGGCGTTAACCCAACTGGAACCAGAGCCGCCTGCGGGGGTTTGGCCTGGAAAACAACGGACGCCTCCGCCGGGAAGTTTGGGTTTCCCGCTTCGTCTAGGCAGATCCCGGGGGGGACGCTTATTCCAATCGGCCCATCGCTTATGGGGATGATCTGAATCGAATACTGCTGCGGGACTAAAGGGGACAGGCTGTTTGGCTCAGGCACTGCCGCGCCGGTGACGATCAGCTCGCATGACGTCACGCTGACGCAGGTGAAGCCGTTGCCTCCCAAGCAAGCCTTGCTGAAGGAGATGACGACCGGAAACGGACTCCGCCGGACGGGCGAGTTGGGCACGGAGATCTGGACAGAGGCACCGGTAAATTCGGCGACCCAGGAAAAGGCCGAATCCGCGGCGACCCCAAGCGCATTTGTGAAGCGAGCGGTCGCCGTGTGCTGCCCCGCTTTCAGGTGCGCAAAAGCAGCCGCGGCCCGGCTGGAATCGCTGACGTCACCGCAGGGGTAGGGGGCCGAGCGGTCCAGCGAGCAGAACGCGGTGCAGTTGTCACAGTCTGCCGACGCCGCGTTGGCGCGCGCGGAGAAGGCGACCGTTCCGCTGGGGTCGTTTCCGGCGGGTTCGCCGACGACGGAAACAACGGGAGCGCGCCGGTCCACCGTCCAGCGGAACACTGCTGGCGTCAGCGCGCGGTTGCCGGCCGCATCCACGGAAACCACGTTTAAGACGTGGGCGGTAACAGAGTCCGCTAACCCGAGGTTTAAGAAGATGACCGGGTTATCGCACGGTTGAAAGGGAACCGAGTCGATGGCGCAGTCGTACGTGCACTGGCCGCAGTTGGTTCGGACACCGTTTACTGTATCGTTTGCAGAAAAGGAGAACTGGGCGGTCGACGTTCCGGTCACGGAAGAGGGGCCGGACAGAATGGAGACTGTCGGCGGAATTGTGTCAACAACCCACCTGCGGAAAACAAGCAGTTTTTCGGTGGGCAGGGGGTTATCTGGTGCAAGGACGACGTTTGACACAATGAAACTATCGCTGATCTGCGTGTGGCAAATCCTGTCGACTACGTCCCGTCTTACGTCGTATCTGAAAGAGCTCTCCTATGAGAAACGCACTGGTGAGAAAAACCGGACAAAGAATCACCAGATCGTCTTGCACGTGATTTTGTGACCCGCGGGTTGCGGGTTTACCCTAAAAATCCGCAACGCTCAAGAAATCTGATGACAACAGGAACCTTCAGCAGGCTTGACCGCTTTGAGTCTCTGCGGCACAAGGATCCTCAAAGCATTCGAATCTCAAGGCAGGAGAACAAAGGTAGACTGCTAGAAACGGAAAGTTGGCCTTGAACAGTTCCTGGTTTACAAAACGTTTACAGTGGCTCTGGGGATAAGTCCCCTTCTTTCAGAGCCTTCAATTCTTTCATTCAGAACAATCTCAAACAACCACGATTGAGTGCCTCTGTCTCAGCCGTGGGTCTTTTTTATTCAGACCAATTAGCAAACAACCGTGATTGAGCCCCCTTCCTCAGCCTTGGGTTGTCTGATTCAGAACAGTTTCACATAACGGAGAAAGCAGCGAACAAAGGCGCCTTTGGCTCGGCTCCGCGCGCGCTCACTCGTACGGCGCGGAAAAAGTCGACGCGCCTTGGACGTCCGTGACGCGCACCACCAGGCTCTGCGTCCCCTGCTGTAACGCCAAGAGCTTCAGCGGCGTGCTCGCGTTACACCCCAGGAACGGCCCGCTGTTGAGCTGGCACTGGTACGTGCACCCGGCGCAAGGAAGGTTGCGCAGCGTTCCCGTGAACGTCAGCTCTGCTGACGTCTTATTGGTCGCCGCGAAAAGCGGCGGCCCGAAGATGACGCTCCCGAGCGGCAGGCTGGAGTTGACCTGCCACGTGTACCCCGTAGGGGCACCCACGTTGCCGAAGATGTCGTCAGCGTACACCGAAAAAGTGTGCGTGCCCTCGGACAGATCTGCGTACGTCAGGCGCTCGCCCGGGTCGCACAACCGGGGGGCGCCGCCGTCGAGAGCGCAGGAGAAAAGGCACCCGGGGCACGGAACGGGCTGCCCGGCGGAACCGGAATAGTTGGTGCCCGGAACGATCGCACCAAACGAGAAGGTTGCGTTTGAAAGTGCGGTCGAGGTGGGTGGATAGTAGAAGATGCCCACGGTTGGGCCAACCAGGACTGCGTTCCAGTCATAGGTTAGGCTGGAAGTGAGGACCCCGTCGGGGTCGGTGATTTGTACCGAGAAGCTGTGAGGGCCGTTGGAGACGTTCCTGCAAAAAGAATGGAATCGCGCTAAGAAAATTTATTCGAGAACCCGCAGTTCTAGACGCCACGTCGTGGCAATCGGACCGAAGATCGTGCCATGGTCTTGATTCGTCCACGTGGCGCGTTTGCGCCGCCTCGTTCGCCTTGACAGCGTCGCTTGCACGCCTCTTCGAAGTGAAAATGCGTTCAAGAGCTGATGTCAGCACTTCGCCTCTTCAAAAAAGCGATGCAGTCACGGGTTTATCCGAAAAGAAGAAGACAACTCGACCAAAGAACTTTAGACCCTACTTTATGGTCTTGCGACTTTCACATATTCGCTTCGGGTCCACAGTCGGTTGATGCAATTCCTTGAACGAGCATCTTCTTCGTTTGCTTGGGCGAACGAACGTTGGGATCATCCTCCTCCCTCGCGGCGTGATTGGTTGATGTGCTAATCCGCAAGTTTCACCTCCAACTACAAGAAGCAGATAAGTAACGCCCAAACACGCGAGTCGTCAAAACATCACACCCGCAGAGACGTGCAACATTCCCCTCCAGAGACCCAACCCGGAAGCTCACCGGTAGACCGCGCCGCTCGCATCCTCGCTTCCTTGCAGGCAGGACTGCCACGTGGCCTGATCCAGCCGGCACAGAAAGGTACACGTGGCGCATCGGACGGCGGACCCCGCGATGGTCGCGGCGAACTGGAAGCGCGCGGAGGTGGTGCCGGTGAGGGGCGCGGGCGCGAGCGTCAGTTGCGCTTTCGGAGGAGTCAGGTCGACCTGCGGAAAGACGTGACGTCAGCGAATGTTGGATGACCTGACGGGAATTCCTTATTAGGTTGAAAGGCTTCATTGCACTTCGCTCACTAGCGTCAGCGCGCATGCGGCACTTCTGCAACGTACGGACAAGTGTAGTCCGCCCGGGGCCGAGAAACAGATGTCACCGCAGCAGAACGATCCCCCAGTCCTTTCGAGCGCCGCTTGGAGCAAATGGTTATTGGAAGGAGGAGAAAAGCCGTCGCGAGTTCAGGAACTCAGGAAGAGTAAGGAATCTAGCAGAAAAGCCGTTTAGGAGTTAAGGGGGGACTGAGCTGGATATCCGTAAACCTGGACGGTTACCTATAACCAATCACGATCGGCGTGACTTGCATGTTCGGTTAAATGCGTGGCCGCCTGACCAGGTAGTCTGATACGAGCCGAGAACAAAACTGAGGCAGATGCGCAAACTCAGATCGTTCGGTGGGTGTCATAAAGACCCAAGCTCAATGAATCAGGCAAGGTATGACCTTCAGCTTAACCAGGAGAGCTCAATCAGGTACAGGCGGCCAGATTGGACCAACTGTGCAACAGGTAGAGTATCACGATTTTATCGTATCGTGGACGAACGCCAACAGCGGCGCAAACCACCCCCGATTCTTACGTTATTCTCACGAAAGATGATAAATAGCCCAGATGATCATACGCTCCTACTAACACTAAAAACCCTTACCCAAAAAACCTGCTCCGCACCCATACCCAACCTAACCACCAAACTAACCCTATTCGTCCCAGTGCGGTTAGTGATTATTATCTCGGCTTGTCTACTATCTTTCTTGAGTTTGATAATTCTTACCACGACCACTCGTTCAACGGGCGCCTCTTCTTGATTCCCGGCCGCGTCGATACTCCGAGCCGCAAACACGTGCCGCCCCGGCTGCAGAAAGAATTTCAACGGCTGCCCCTGGGGACACGTGGCAAATCTTCCGCCGTCGATGCTGCATTGGACGTTGCACGAAGGGCAGTCCGTCGTGGTAACCCCGTCCGGCGACCGGTCTCGGACAGTGACGTTGATTCTGACGCTTTGCAAGCTTGTTGGCCGGTCTTCCGGGGCGTTTGTTGTTAGAAGGGTTACGGGTGGAGTCAAGTCAGTAACCCAGGCGTAAGTCCCGGGGGCGCTGCTTAACCCAAGCGGGTCGAACGCGTCAACGGAGAAGGTGTGGGGCCCCTCTCTGGGAGCGGACACGATAACCGAGTAGGTTCGGAGGTTAAGGACCGGGTTAAAGGTGGGCGGGCCCGGGTTAGTGCACGCCGGCTCTGTCTGGCCATCTAGAGTGCAGTGGAACGTGCAACGGGAACAGTCACCGCCCGTTCCGTTCCTGGCGTAGAAGCGGAACTCCGCGGACGGATTCCGGGTTGAGGGGGCTGGTCCGGACACGAATCCGACGGCGAGAACCATCCGGGGGGGCGAAGACAGGGCTGGTAGAGGGGGGGGAAAAGTCATAAAGCTGGAGGGAGGGACAGGCGGCAGTGGTGGGGGGGGCGGTGCAAGCGGCGCCTGCATGATGACGTAATACACCGTCGTGTAGGACAGGCTCTCCGACGTCACCGTGATCTGCAGAACGGAGCGGCCGAACGGAACCGGAACGGTCTGGCTGATCGTCCCGACGGCGGCCTTTCCGCCGGCGCCGATTGACACCAGCGCAGCCGCGTCGTTTGTCAGTGCGAGCAGGGTCGCTGTTTCCCCCCCCGACGCGAAAGTTGCGGAGTAGTTGAGAGTGGTTGGTGTGAATGAGGGGGAGATGAGGCCTGGCGTGAGGACGAGGAACTGGAGAGAGGCGTCGTTTCCTTGCAGAATGGCCGTCCGAAAATAGTAGATCTTTGTAGCAGCGCCGTTGGAGGCCTGTAAGGATGCGCGATGCTGCTTTCAAGACGGCCCGCGGTTTGAAATTCATTAAACGTGGGCGTTTTCTATTGTGATTAAATTGGATGTAAAGTCAATTAGAGAACCCAGAGACGACGTCAAGGCAGCGGAGCGGATGGCAGGCTCTCCGCTCTCACCACGACAGCGACCCTGTCGCCAGAAAAAAGATACGTTCCAAGTCGAGCTCTACCGATTGATTCTCACTTTGCACCTTGAGAGGAAGCAAGTCTGGAACAGTGAGCCGATCACTTCAATAGGTTGCGTAATCACTCCAAATGGTGGAAAAGGTGCAAGGAAACACAACACACCGTGACTGTGATGGCCACGATTCCGCCGGAAGTCGCCGGAAACGAGTCGGACGTCAACCCACTGGTCAGAGTCAGTGTTCCGCCGGAAGGCAAGGCGGCGGAAATGTTGGCTCCGGGGTCGGCGGAAACCGCCGTGACGGTTATTAGTCGAACGTCCTTTGCCACGAAAATGGAGTACAAGGTTCCTGGGAGTTGTAAAACGATTTTTGTGACAAGTGCATTATTGTTCAAAGGTCGTCAAAGAAAGAGCGGCTGAATTATATAGTACGGAGCTATCCTTTGCCCCGTCGCTTCGAACTCTCGATATGAAACCCTCTTGAGTCTAGTTTGAGTATAGCTTAGCTCGAGTATAATCTTGAGAATAGCAAGCCATGTCTGCAGAGTCACAGAACCTGAGGCCGGCATCCTTCAGATTGCAAGTTGCAACGAGGGGAACGTAACGACCAAGAGCTTGACTGGCATTCTGACGAAGTTCTTAAAGGATTGCCCTATATCGCATCTCTATGACAAGTTCTATACGTTCTATTCGGAGTCGGTTCGCAAAGCACTCCCAGCTCAAAGTCGATTTAAACGATGCTTTCGCGGTTTTCATGGTCCGGACGGCCTGCTGCCAAGCTCTTTAAAATCTCGTCGCAGTCCCTCGCTGAATGCCCCAGATTGATCCCACTCACCAGACGGGCTGAAGCTCGGGAAAATTATGGCACTCGTCCGTAAATCCAAGAGCGACGCATCTGGTGGGGGCACCGGGGGGGGCGGGCTCAGTGGGGGCGGGTTAGGTGACGGGTTTGGAGGGGGTGGGTTAAGCGGAGGTGGATTGAGAGGAGGCGGTTGGAAAGGAGGCGGGTTAGGTGGCTGGTATGGAGGTGGCCGGTTAGGAGGACGTGGGCCAAGAGGGGGTGGTCTAGGAGGGGGCGGGTCAGGAGGCGGTGGGTTAGGGGGAGGGGGTTAGGGGGGGATGGGATTTGGCGGAGGCGGGTCAAAA